TTGTAAAATGCAACTGTCAGACAACCTTTCTACCAACAACAGGTCCTTTAGTAAGCCAAGAATAGTGCAAAGTTTCTGTAGTGCAGTATTCACTGCTCCAGAGATCCTACGAAACAGAGATATCAGATGAGAACATGTGGTGCAACTAAAAATACAAAATATTGGGAATCAATCAGTAAACCTGTTCATTGCCGACTTCTTCACTTTGCTGATTTTTCCTGTGCGTCGCCTTTTGCTGGCTGAGCCCAGGTCAGGATCGAGATCCTCATCATCATCACCTAGAAATGCATGTGGCATATATCTATGTCAGATTTGTGTATTTGTGTAATTAGATTATAACTTGTGCAGTAACTGGAAGAGGAATGAGAATATTAAAGAACACTTAAAAACAAAAAAAAGAACATGCCGCAAGGCACAGTTATTGTGCTTACAGACTAGGATAACACTAAAGTTTTAGATATAGGGAATGGCATTCCATGCATTGGAAAAGAATATGCACAGCAAGTCCAAAATCGGAAAACAACCTTCAAATGCCACGTTATCTGCCGGTTTACTTGCGGTACGGTACGACGGATCATAAGCAGACATGACAGCCATCATTTGGTGTCTAGAAAACTCCAGAATTCTCTCAATTACCTGATTGAAAGAAATACAAAAAAAAAAAAAAAAAAAACTGAGTCAGTTATATATGATGAAACGGTAGCAGGTGCAGAGAAGCACAAGCATAAACAGAGTTCAGGGAAAAAAACAATTTAGAAGCAATCACCTCTTCCTTGTAGAGCTGCTTTGGCATATCACTGTTGGCCATCACTGCAAGCGATGCATGGATTGACTCAAGGGCACCAAGAACTAACAACACTGAATCTGAATCTGACTGAAATGTTTAAATGTTTATCACCAGAAAATGTTAGCTAAAAAGAAATTGACGTATTTGATGCATTATTAATGCATTCTTGCAAGAAAGGCGCAAATAGAATGAGCCAAACATAAATTTACTCACATGCTCACTATAAATGGACAAGCCTTCTGCCCTATGTATCTGATGATCCAGAGTGTGCAATAACCTCGATAGAATATCAACAGGTACCATATGCAAAAGCATTTTTGATCGTATAGTCATCAATTCATTTACAAGAACACGAACTTCATCAACAGGCACTGATGACCACTCTGCTTCATCCCTATCATCACCAGGGACTTCAGCTCTGCTACAGAAGTCCTCCAACATCTCACAAAAGTTTTGTATGATGGACTCTAAACAAGCATTAGAAAACAATAATTATTTAGAGGGTAGGTAACTGCAGAAAAAAAGGAGGAAAAGAGGATTAACATACCTTGAAGCACAGATGGATCCGGTTGAACTAAAGACACGTCATCTTTACGTTTCTTCTTGCCCTTGGACATTTTGGAAGCGGAAGATTCCTGCTGTTTGATTCAGTTATGACCATGGCACAATAGAAACCCACTAAAGAGGAAAACTGTGACAATGGTCTTACATTGATGGTGATTGTTTCAGCCCGAGAGTCATGAGTTGCAATATCATCTCTCGGTGACTGATTTGTCGAAGGTTCAGGCTGCCAACTATGATCTTCAACATTAGTTGATCTTAATACCCTTTTCACAGGTTCAGGCTGAATACTCCTAGCAAAATGATGATCTTCCTGTCGTTGAATCTTGACAGGAACACTTGGCTCAGAAGTTCTCTGTTGAGGCTCTTCATTGGTACAGACTGGATCGCAGGTCTGACCTGATAAACTTGAAAATTGTAATAAATAATTTTGGCAAACCTATTAAATCTATCATACACTGGCGCATTAACAAGTTTTCCCAGAGGAACAAAACAAGCATTAAAGCTCAGCACAAGTATAGACGTTCACTCCGGAGTGAAAAAAAATAAGGAAGATACTGCTAGTATCAAGCATTAAAGGCATCTTAAATGCGGACCAAATATTGTAAAACTTAGAAAGGATTATTTTCCAAAAGATTTCCAATATTTTCCTCAAAATCTGTAGCACAAGTTCAGCCAAAAAAGACAAAATGAGAAGGTTTCATTTACCAGGGGTAACATACTCAAATGCTCTAGGATTGCATCGCAGAACTTGGTCATATAACTGACAAGGCTGCTCAGAGTTACAATCGATCGCCCTAGCCTCGTTTCTAAGATCACTGCAAGATTAAATCAGAGAGAAATAAGTGGGTGCCACATAATATTCTCCACAGACCTAAATGAACCAAGCTACGCTAATGGGGAGAGATGTTTTATCAAGCACAAACTAAATCTCAGAATTACTTAAATTCAAGGTTAGCTGTGAAATTAACCAGCACAAAACCAAATGTTACTTCTCGCTTCACCAGCAAAACTGCAAAAACTTATGTAATCATCAAATTCCTGGCATGTACAATATCAGCCAACGAAAAAAACAGATGATCTGCAGCACAACTATAGCTTCTGTTAGTCGACTTGCAATATTGGCAGCGAAGCAGATTTCGATAAATACGATTCTCAGCCAAATTGCTGAGCATTTCACCAGTCGAAATGAGGAAGAGGTCTAACTAGTTTCTCACGAATCATAATTGCCAGAAATGAAAACTAAAAGGCTCAAGGGAGAAGACGACGGATCACTTACAGGTAAGAAACGTCAGTTGCTTCGAGCAGGTTCGCGATTCGACTGGATTGCGAGAGAATCTCATTGCGATTCAACGACCTGTTGCCACTGCCTCGTTGAGCCTCATCGTACAGCTTGAACTCCCCAGGTTGCGTCGCGCCGCAGAAAATGGGTAACGACGGTAGCGGCAAGTGAGGAGCAACCTCCGACTGCACCGTATTGGCCAAGCCGATCCCGAACTGAGTCAAACTCGAAGTCGAACTTGAGCCCCATCCGGAGCTGCTTGGATTGCTCATCTTGGGATCGAACTGTAGTCCACAGATTCACAAATTAGGGTTTCCAGATATCAGATTTGGAAAAACTAGCAAGGATAAACTGGGAATTTTGAGGGAATTTGAAGCAGGTTTTATCAGTCCTAGAGAGAATTGAGCCCTAGATTGAATTTAGGGGAAGAAATTAGGGAGATGCAATTGGCGGGGAAAGTAAGAGTGACATCTTCCCCAGCAATTTTCCTGATTTTAGATATTAAAGAAAAACAAAATTAAGATGTATTTCTCCCCCATTAAACAACCGTTATACCCACGATTAGTACTTGATTGGCAGTTAAGTTGCAGGAGTAGTTAGTTTCGTAATCAGAATTCAGGGAGATGGAGAGTTTTGAAACGATATATCTACCTCATTTATGTAAATACCCGGGATAAAAAGTTATGTTGGATGGAAATTCCGTCCAAGGCACGTTTATTACAAACTCTCAGAAACTTGTTTTCGCACATTTTCTCAAAATTTCAATTCAAAAATTTAAATTATGTTGGATATGGAAATTCCGTCGGAGCCACGTTTCTCCGAAATAGAAATTCTCATAAATTTTGTTTTCACGCGTTTTCTAAATATTCAATTTAAAAATTTCTAAATTTAAAAATTTAAGTTATATTGGATGAAAATTCCGTCTGAGACACGTTTCTCCGAAATAGAAACTCTCGAAAATTCATTTTCACATATTTTCTAAAATCTTCAATTTAAAAGTTTAAGTTATCTTAGATGAAAATTTTGTTCGAGTCACGTTTCTTCGAAATAAAAAATCTCAAAAACTTGTTTTCACAAGTTTTCTAAAACTTTCAATTTAAATATTTAATGGAAACTCGCGTTTCCATTTTGAAAACTTATTTATTGTTGTTGAAAAACATTATAATTAAATAATTACAACATAAATATATTTAAAGTTTTAACGATATTTATCTTTACTTAAACTATTTAATATTATATATATAATATATTTATTTATATATATATATATATATTTCCAAAACGTTTCCAAATTTATATTTTTCAAAATGCACATTTCAGAGATATAAGATTAAAGGTTGGAAGACCTGTTGAATTCATATGAAGAGGAACTTGGGACAGGTTTGGGATACGAGGTGTTAACCGGACAGAGATTGTCTTTTAAGGTGGCTGTGAGTGATCGGAAACGTTTGGAGATTGATAATGTTGATCCACCTAATTGGCAGTTTAATAAAACTTATGATGATGGCAGAATTAATTTCTAGTTGGAAAGTTTGTTTTTTTTGTAAGATATATATTGCTCGTTAATGTCATCTTCTGAATTCTAACCATTGGTCACAAAAATAAAATATGTTTTTTTCTAGTCATACACCCAACAAATTCAAGTCACTAATACTGACGTCCAAACAGTTTTTACAGTTACTTACTAGTAACAAGGATGGCCGGCACGTGTCACTTAAGTGTCAGACAGTAAAGTCCCAAAACCCAAAAGTTTGGAAGAAAAGAATACGACAAAATATCCATATAAAAGTGATATACCTCGTACTACAATAACATTACCTGATATAGAATTTTAATAAAGTACACACGCCCACTCTTTTTCAGAGTCAGAAAAGAATCCAGAGCATCTAACAGATTTTCAAACTGGAAAGAAAGTGACAGAGAAGAGCAAGAAATTAAAGAGAACAGAGAATCTAAAGATAACGATTTATAAAGGGCAAAGCCATTGTCCCCATGTATTGATGATATTCTAACTTCCAAACTAAGTTAATATTAACTAAATACTAACCAGAAAGGTACGCAGTGACAAGCCACTGCGCAGAGAAAGTCACATATGTAACTACAAAGATCATCCTATTGTTCATGCCGAGACCTGATAATTTGGTTTTATCCCAGGATCCATTCTTGGTTCTTTTCAAGCAAAAGAAAAACACAATAGAACAATATTTACTTCCACTGGAAAAAAACAGCAGCAAAGCTGCTGTGTTATCCGAGGATGGTTGGTTTTTTGACATTTTTCTCGCATTCCTCGGAGGCAAAGAATACTGGTATTATCTTCTTTGGGATGATTGGTTATATGCATAGCAAAAGATTACTTCCCAAAACGCAGACTCATAACGAAATGCATTGTACTCCCTCTGGTAGGTTCCGAGGCATGGGTCCCAATGCAATGTATCTCTGTGGTGTAGGTTTTAGAAGGGTGACTTGTGAAGGGTTTCCAGAGTCTGGCCCTTTGCTGTGAAACCTCGCAAACCGGTTGATAACAGAGAACTTATCCAAATCCGCTATTTCGAATTGTATGTCTGCCATTCTCGGCGTTCTCTCCAGTCTGCAACATCAAAGAATTGACAAAAACGTTTTTACAACAGTAAGGAGGTAACATGTTCTCACTTAACAACAAATGTCGTTATCACCGAGAGCTATTATAACTTTAAAGTGAATGCTACGAGAAGATGGAGCAGCTGCTAAACTAGTTTCATACCTTTCCAAGCTTTCCCCGAGTTTCTTTGCTTTCTCTGTTAATCTTTCAGCAACTTCAGTATGTTGCATATCCCTTCTCTCAAAATTCTCAATCTTTTCCGGTATCCTGTGAATGAACACATTCAGGGTTAAAAGGTTTTCAGGACCTCGCCAAAGAAGTTAAAATAATCACTTTATAAGCAAAGAGAAACGCGATTAATCAGTATAACACTCACTTATCAACCTCAGGAGACGATAACGGCAACACTTTATTTCCTTTGTGGGTAAAGCTGCAAGCATCACTAAGGGTTGCTCTAGCAACGGAAAATAGCAGAGAATCGTAGCTTGACAATGCAGCTGAAAACAAAAGGAACGATGGAGGCGGATCAAATAGCTGTTGCATAAGCTGTGATGTTAGAACAAGTCTTCTCTTTGAACGGTGCAATGGATGCGCAAATTCACTCTGAGTATCATACTCGGCCTACAATGGAAAACAAATGAACATTCAAAATTCGAAGATACAATTATGCATCAATCAATTTTAACCATTTTCTCTGACGTAACATACCTTCTCAACTAATAGGTTACCAACTCTGGCCCATTCTTCTTCTGCTCCACTGCAGACAAAATTCATCTATCAAGTTAATCGAATGAGAATACAAGGTGGAAAAGTCAAGACACATAAATAGTATGGGACAGACCTGATTGTGTGTTCCCTTTGGGATGCATTGGAGACTTCTTTATGCCAAGCCAACTGCTTTCTTCTCATAAGCTTTCGTTTCTTTGGTGTGATTATCTCTCTGTCTTTGTTCAATATGTTTAAAGGCTTAGAATGCTGAGGCAACTGATCGGGAGTCTCCTGAGAGTCATATGCAGGTTGCATCTGGTCATTTCTAAAAGCTCCCATCTGCTTGAACCACACAGGCGCTGATGCGGGAAGATTAAGATGGCTACTGCCACCAAGCTGCTTCCCAGTGGAAAAAACATTTTGTTCCATCTTTGAGTCAGCGAACGCATTGGACTTAAGCTGCGACATTGAGCTCATACCGCTATCCATTGGCAATTTGAATCCATAGTTTTGTTCATATAACTTCGAACTTGTACCAAAATCTATGCTATTCTCCCTCTGGAGTTTGTTGAAATCTCTGTTAGACGCAGTAAAATCAAAGATGCTCTTAGCAGCTGATCCCTGCTCTTGAGGCAAACCAACCCTCTGTTGCATGTTATCTGCTGTGGGCGACAGATGTTGGGTCCAGCTTGTTGAATAACTTGAATTCAAGGGAACGTTGAGTGATTCCTGATTCAAAGTATGTTGGCGAGTTGGTAAGTCCATCCACACATTGAACTGCTGATTGGTACCTTGCTGGGGTGATCTAGTTTGACTCGAGGTGTGACCTCCAAAGCCAGTATCCAAAATGACTCCTGGAAATGTTGCGTTGTCAGGTTGAGATGCTACAAATGGATTGATTGTCTGCATAGTAGCCAGATCATTCTGCTGTATAAACTGCGGGACTGTCCCTGCTTTACCGAGCTGAGAAGGCACGTTCAACCATTTTCCACCTTGAGAAGGGTCAAATGAAGACATGCCGGGTAAGTGACTTGCAGATAAATCAGTTGTACTGGAGCGATAATTGCCTGTCTGAGATTGCTGACCAAGCATCCCGGAGGACTGCAGATATGTATTACTCATAGATAAATTATCAAAAGACACACCTGATGGCACCTGCTGATTACAATCCACCCAATGACCAGTCACGTTCGAGGACCTCTGAGCGGAATCATGAGTACTTTCATCCTGAAAGATACCTGATCTCAGCTGATCTAAAGGCACCTGAAACCCAGGAAAGCTAGAGTTTAATGACGCAGAGCCTTGCAGGGTATTATTATTCACACAGCCAGCCTGTTGCTTATCACTGTCCATGAAATTGGATATGTCGTTAATGTCCGCAGATAGTTCCATATTCTGGTATGTTAACCCGCTAAACTCCTCCTGAAGACCAGTATCGCTGCTAGAAGCTTCTGCAACAGCAGTCTGCACAAGCGCGCTCCAGCTCCCACTCTGCATAGATGGGAAAGGGCTGGAGAAACTCACACTGTCAAATTTGTCACCGAACACTCCAGAAGCAATCTCGGAAATACTACTATCTTCCATGCTGAACAGAATCTTCTCTTCCAGTGGGTCAAGAGGAACCAAAGCCTGAGACACTTTTGAATCCTTCTGCTGAAACGAAGACCAAGTTACTTGCTCCTCCTGCCTCCCGCTGGAAACTCCAGGATTTGAAATAAATCCTCCATGTTGTAGAGATGCTTGCGCTGGAGACATATCATACTGACTTACAAGGAAGGGGTTATTAAAATCCGATAACTGCATCAAAGAACTCTGTGATTGAGCACTAGGAGGCCTAGCTGCTAGATTGCCAGGATGTTGTTGACTCATATTGTTTCTTGCATTAGAAACCGGATTACCGTATAGAGAGATATCAAGCTGCTGAGAACCAAGGCCCATCGAAAACATGGTTGTTCCTTGTTGACCTGGAGATGCATTCCTCTGCGCCCAGTTTGTATACATTTGTGACGAATCATTTAGAGGCATTGCATCAAGCAAAGGTGGAAACTGCCCGGTATTATTAGCTTTCTTCTGGACTGCTGATGAACAGGGGTTCAAAAAGTTCTGCTGCTGCCTTTGAAGAGCATGTAGTTGCTTTGGCATCAACTGCTGCTGCAACAACTGCATCTCATCGTAACCAGACTGCTGCATAGGGCTATGTTTGGACAACGAATTTCTCTTGAAGCCTTCTTTGGAAAAACATAAAATCACCACTATAAGCTTACTTGAAAACAAACCCTGAGCTTATAGCCTAAGCTTTCACAGAACAAGCCCTGCTGCTTTTGCATCCCTTGCAAATACTGTTGATCAAGCTCAAGCAGGGAAGCATTTTGATTCGCTGGACGTTTCACATACAGATTTTAAATGTGTAACCAAATCATCAGCTGATCCCTGTCCAACGACAATAGATCCATCAAAATTTATAATTTCAACAGTATTGTCATCCTAATAAAGCAACACAAAACTAAATTGCTCAACAAAATCCTAACCTTTTGGACTAATCTACTTGAAAATGGCATCCAAAAGCACTAAACTGAGGAACAGCCCAGAATCAAAACCTTTAAACACCAACACAATTGCCAATTTCTCAGGACTATGAACCATAATCAATCAAACTACAGCTAATTTAACAGAACTTCGAGAGAAAAACTTACAATTTACCAGAAGGAAGCAAATATAGAAGAAAATCGTGATCTAAGGAGACGAGAAGCTGAGGATCGTTTAAGGTTCTTCTTCACACAGCTCGATTTGCCACCAAATTATCAAAAATATCTATATAAAAAGGTAGATTTCCCTCCTCTTTTCAAGCTTCTTCTCTTCTACTCGCCTTGACTTGACGCTGCAAAATTCGTGAAAAAAAATATATGTATACCCAGAATTTTTTTCCTTTCTAGTAGACTGAGTAAGTTCTGATTCTTCCAAGATGTAAAATTTTCGAATAAGAAGCCGAACACAGAGGACCGATACTACAGCAAAAACAAAATACAGTGTGAAGAAAGAAAGAAACTTTAATTTCCTGGAAAATTTTATGAATAACAAAAAAAAGTTATTAAATTCGTGAAAAGGAAACGAACCTCAGGTTCGGAGTTTGGTTCCCAAAAAAAGGCGGTAATTGCGTGTTACAGCGTGTATCAGATTTAGATGCACTTTACTTGGATTTAACGGTTGAGATGGTGATGAGTCAAAGATCGTGCGGTGTGAGTTTCGAAGAGAAAGTTGACTTAGATAACTACGAATCGTTTACTCTGAGATAGGCTGCAAAAAAAGTGGGTGGAAATTGGTTCTGTGCTTAACCCACGCGCTTTAAACAAGGCGTGGATTTTATTTTTCCTCTTCTCGCTTTGTTTAGTAATTTATTTATTTCTCTTCTGCAAGTTCTGTATATTTATATGTATTTGAAAAGGAAACCTTAATTTATGATTTTGGTTGATGCAATTTGTTTTACCCGCCAACCTAGTATCCAGTATGGCAGACAAAAGAAGCAAACACAGTACACGTTTTTCTTAAAAAAAAAGAATCGTTACAATAAAAACAACAAAATTGCTTCCAATCAAAAATAAATTTAAGGTTCAACATATCCAAATATATGAAGAGTAGACAAAATAACAGTACGCATTTCTCCAGTAGAACTTACAACAAAACCTTGACCAATCTGGGGCTGGAATAGTAACTTTGGTGTTTCTGAGTTCTACATTTCATGTAAGAACAGAAATTAATTTAGTTTTGGTCCTCATTTCATGTAAGAGAAGAAATGTTTGAAAGATTTCTGTTTTCTGACCTTCTAAGAAATTGAGATTCCAGAAGAAATGCGAAGGTTAGAGTCTGCTCCTCCACTGACTACGCTGTCTCCTTTCCACCAGTCAGCAGATAAAACCTTCAAAACCGATTATATTCGCACTGTTTCAGTAACAAAGAGATGGAGAAAAAGAAGAGTAGAAGATAAACATTGTGTGTTAGTTACTTTACCTTATCCTTGTGTGTGTCGATAATTGACAAAGGCCACTGCAAATGAAGTAACAAAATATTAGTTCCAAAGCAAAACCGCAGGTTATAAAGGAAATGAGTGGCTGTGTGTGTGAATAATTACAGCGGTTCTGAGATCCCAGAGCATGATTTTGCCGTCATAGGAAGCGGAGAGCAAGTGATACCAAGAGCTCTTGTGCCATTTACAGGCGGATATCCATGATGCATGTGAAGAGAACTGAAACACGGGGGCAGATGTTCCTACAAAATAAACCAAACCAGAGAGAAGTTATAATCAAACCGTGTAAATATAAAAACCAGCCTGGTTATATATTTTGACTCGGCGTGTGTTGTTCACCTGGCTTACGAGGATCCCACACTCTAAGGACTGGATCTGAGCCACCAGCAGCTACAAGTGCAGAACCTTCACCGCCAACATCTAGCGTGTTGAGAGCTTTTCCAGAGTACTACAAGTTGACAAGAAACAAACATACAAGCACCGATCTGTCAGCAACACCAAGTGTTAGTGTGTTAGTTTAAAAAAGGAGAGAGTGAGAAAGGCATACCAAGTTCAAAGTTTCTTTCCCTGTATCAACATCCCATCTCCTTACGGAATGGTCCCATGAAGCGGAATAAATTACATCATGCTCCGGCCAAACGACTGATGAGACACACTGAGTGTGTCCAACAAATGTAGACTCAGCCTCTGCCTGTAAGAAATTCAATATCGTAATCGCTATTAGATAATCGCTATTAGATACTTCAACTGGTCTCTTCCTTTTGATTCCAAGAGAAGATTGTGCGTTTCAAAAGAGTTAGCATATCATCAAGACTTTATTGAGGGTACCTCAGTCTGAGATTCCGCAGCCTGGTTATTCCCTTTTCTTTTCTTCGTTGATACGGAGTCCCCTTCTGAAGTAGACTGATCTGTGTTCCATAAATTGATAGTGCAATCCCATGAACTCGAGCAAACCTAAAGTACATTGATTACAGCAAAAAACGCGGATGAGATACAAAGTAGTTTCTCTCGTAAAACTAAAGTTAAGCGCAAGGGGAAAAAAGCAAACCATGCTCCCGTATTTCTGAGCTGCAACACTTTGCACTGCCGCCTTGTGCCCACGCAATATCTTGTAAGCTCCAACTTTCGTAGTAGAGTCAACAGGTTCATCTGTATCAACCTTTATACAGAGAGAGGCGACTTTAGTTAACTGGAAAACTGAAGGTTGGTTATATATTTATCCATGTTTACCTTAAACAATCTCAGTGACCGATCTTTAGAGGCAGTGGCTACAGTAACACTTCCTGCATCTGCAAAAGTAAGGAAGTGATCAATGAGCAAAAACAAGTAAATATCATTTGCTAGTAAAGAACAGGTGTGGTATAGATTTATCATGCTATGCTCATACCTTCTGTGTTAACTAGAGCAACAGAGGAAATTGCCCCACTGTGGCCCTCTAAAATGTGTGTACAATATCCAGCAGAACTCCACACCCTAATCAGAAGAAGAACAAAAATAAATAAAGATTCTTGCAAATGTTGAAAGTAATACAAAAGACAGAAGATAAGCAGCTGCATACAAGATATAAACTAGTCAAAATGATTACCTTCCTAAACCATCATAGCAGCCGGTCAAAATGAGCCTGCAAATGACAGCAACGAGATCAGAACAACATCTGGATGAACCTAATTTACTTAAGAACAGGTGAAGAATAATCCCAACAGCAATAACTCTTTATACAGTTATAGGACTTTCCACATGGCATGAAGAAACAGATGGTAATGCAAAAGTTTCTGTAAATCAAATTATAGAGCCATTGTACAAGAAACTACCTGTGAGAAGAACCATCAACCGCACTGACCCAGTCATCATGCAATGAGGGTTTTTCCTCCCTCCGTGGTGCCACAGCCCTTATGTATTCGATTTCAAGAGTTCGTTCCTGCAATAACCAACAATTAAATTTAAGTAAATGTTTCCAAGACACCAATTTTGATGTGCCTCAACGAAATGAAAAGTCTCTGTGTCTAGTGGCTGATTAGGATAGAAAACAGTACCGCCGATATTCCCTTGGCTTGAAGAAACTCTTCCAGTGACATTCGAATAAGCTCCCCATCGATCAGGAAGTCAAATGGCTCAGGATTTTCTGTTCATCCAAAAGATAATCTTATGGCCGTTAGCTCAAGAAGAAAATGAATATTACATTACTAATACAGGTAATCATATACAGATTTTATCATGTATGCTCTAATCCATAAGCACAAACAAACGCGTAAAACACCTAGGAATTGACAAATTCACAAGACAAGACCAACAAGCACCAGTAATCGAAGCTCAAAACTCTAAAAATCAACAAGGTACAAAAGGAGAGATATGGAGAGAAAGTATACCGAGAGTGAGAAGAGAATTGACAATCGAAGAGAGACCGAGACGGGTGAGATTGGAAGGGATGACGACGGAGGTGACCGGAACTTTGAACGGAGAGTCGAGCTTCGTCACGAACTTCACGTGGACTACCTTAGATGCATCTTCTCCTTCGACATCCATTTTAGAACTCTAAATTATCCAATCGCCTGTTACAGAGCAACAAAAAGATGAAGATGAAGAAAGAAGACACGGAGATAAATTAGGGTTCTGGCTCGAGGAGAAGAGTAGGCGAAAACCTCCTCACTCAGCAAGGTTTAAGGAAAATATTAAAATTACGGAACTAACCTCCCTTTGCTCTGTTTGGGGTGATTGACTCTTGGTTTAACTTTAACCACAGAACAAAATGCGGTTCAACAACCGATATAAAATCAAGTTTGGACCCAACTAATTTGGACCTTTAAAATGGGCCTTGCTAAGGCCTCGGTACTAACCCACATTTAACTCAATTGCATTTTGTTGATTAATACATGTGTTTGAGACTTTGAGCTTACTGTCTTTTTGCTAAAAATGGTGTAGTAACAGAAAGAGGAAAGAAATAAAAACTTGGTTCATCAGATAATCTTCAGGAACACACATTAACCTCATTACTAAACTTTGTTAACTACAAACTAATTGCTTACATATGTTCTTATTCGTTCAGCCGCATTTAACAAACACTATAAACAAATGGCTTCAATAGTTAACAAACAACAACATCCAAAAAACAACGTTCGCAGAGATTGTTTTGTATTACGTATAAATCAGATTTGTTTTCAAGTTCTCTTCATCACAAATTCACAATAGCACATTTTCTCTGATTAAAAACACTTTGGTTTCTCCTCCTGCTACAAATCTGGAAACATTTGTCTTCAGTCTTTTCTTTATATCAGAATTCAGAGTCATCTCCAAGACATGGACACAGAAACTGGTTGCACCTCAAACTGGGTTTCTTCCTCTGCTAAACCGGTTGGCTCAATGGATCTGAGTTTGGTCTATGATGAATCAATTTCTAGCCATCACACAGGGAATGTCAGCCTCTCTGGAGAACTTGGAATCATTGGCTTAGCTCCTGAGTTGGAATCGGATGAAAAACATAAACTGAACCAATCGGGTTACCAAATTCCCGACACCATTCCGGTTGAGGAATCACAAGACTCTGAGAGTGATGATGAGGATGATGAATTAGGGGATGATTTGAAGGAGATATTACAAGACGATTCAAGCAACAACAGTATGTCTTCTTTCACATTTCCCATGTAAGCAACAGCAGTATTTCAAGCAAGCAACCCTGCTCTGTTTCTTTGAGAAAGCCTGCACCGCAAGAAAACATGAGCCCTAATTTTGTTTCTTTCAATATATAAAAACTCACTTACTTGCTTTTTTGCTGCTGTTATATGGCAGATTGCTGCATAACGTAGATGGAAGTGTCAAAACGCCGACTATGGAAACCAGATGGAACGTTTTTGATAGATGGTTGCAGCTGCCTCAGCCGCAAACGCAACCGCAACTACAATTGCAATTTTATTTCATCCCAGCAGCAGCAACTCATACACTAACTCGGCTACCACCACATAGGGAGTCACCGTCGTTGAAGCAAACTTCTGAAATGCAAGCGCAAAAAGCTTTTAGGAATCGGTGGTTCTCTTGCTTTATCTGTCCATGTCAACATGATTGATTCAAGAGAGATTGAACAAGGCTAAAAGGAAAGGCCAGTAGACACCTCTAGCTGCATGCAAGATCAAACTGTATAAAGTTTGAAACTTCTCCTTCCGAAGAAAACTAATCTTAACTGTTAGGACTTTAACTGAGAGTTATACTCTTAACCGAGCCAATTCAAGATTGTGACTAAAAATGTTCAATCGGAAACTAAGTTCGGTTTGTATTATAGTTTTTCGTTGTTAAGGTTTGTATTTTGATCCTGTGATAACGGAACAACAAGACACCCATTGTGAATCCTTTGCAAGCTCTCTTTTTTGAGCAATGACTAAATCATAATGTAACGAAGAACAAAAACAAATGTATACAAAAATTCACAAGAGAATCAATCAAGAAAAAAAGGTGTTCTTTAAATAGCAAGACCTTGGTCATCAGCAGTAACAGTTACTTGGCTGTTTCCATGACGAATCCTACACTCACAGTAAAAGACGGTAACTACAACATAACTCAGAACCACCTCAGCCCCATACGTAGAAACCAGCCTCCACCCATCCCAACCACCGCTCACCACCACCGACCTCCACCAAGACCCTGAGCTTGAGTCCACATCTAGCTCCTTGGCCAGCTTCTCCATCCCATGACCGATAAAATTCGACAGAAACACAAACACAAACCCTAAAGCTAAGCCTGCTATCCTCCTCCCTTTCATCAAGGCATTTCCTTCTTTAACCGCATCAAAACCGAATCTTTCTTCTACTACAGAGACGACAAGGCCAAGCCCTGCTATGGCCATTATGTAAACCTCAATGCCGAGGCTGAAAACCGTGATGAGGTAACGCAATGCGGGTGTATAACCCAAGAGAGCTGATAGAAACATGGGAATCGGTGAGTAGAGGAAGAGCAGACCGTAGACAACAATGGAAGTCGCTGTTACTCTCATCCACGAGGACTTGACTGAAGCAAATGACGACTTGAGAGATGGGTTTAGGCCGTGGTGAGAGAAGGAAGTTGATGTGATGACGGTTATGGAGGCGATACAGGAGAGGACGAAGGACGGGACGAAGTACCGGGATTTGAGAAGTAAGAGAGAAACAGCGTCTTCTCTGGACTCTTGCAAGATCTGTCTAGCTTCAAACCGTGTGTGCACGACGTTGGCCAGGGCTTCTAGACGGAAGACATGGTTTCTAAGGCGAAAGGAGGTGAGAGTCAGGGAGAGGTGTAATGCTGCAAGAGGGATCGCTATAAAGGCAAAGATTGGGAGCAAGATGTGTTTGTTTCTCAAGAGAATCATCGAGGAATCAACGAGTGTTGTGGGGATCCACGTTCGCTTTATCTCAATCATGATTTCTAAAGGCACATAGGAACCTGAGTCCGATATTATGCTTCTAGAGAATGTCTTGTATGTGGCCTGTGTAATAGTGAAAGCACAAAACTTTTAGCAAGTCAAGAGAATCCATTCAAGATTAGGTGGTTTTTTTCAGCAAAAGAATCATACTTTTCTCAGAGAATCATATGAAAGAATGACACTTTAGCGGTTCTTCCAAAACAGAGAAAACTCAAACAAGGTTTGGTTCAGACAACAAAGTCCTAATTGACCGAAATGTTCAAGCTTTTTCAGAGTTGAACAAGTTTTAGTTGCTTGAAGAATATAAAGGCCTAATATGAGTACGAATTGATGGTATCTGAATCAAATTCTGTGATTATTAGGACCAAAAGTGTATGAAGAAATCAAACTACTTCCATCGAGATCAACGAATCTATAACTTCGTAAAATTCAGACTCTAGAAAAAGAGTAAAAATGTTTGATTCCCCCGATCACAGAAACAATTAAACAATTAGGTTTATCAATCATTTTTACTTGAATCCGATTTAATTTAAGATCGAGACAAACCTGAAAGATGCGAAAACACCGATTGGTGTAAGAGTGAGATCGAAGAAGCTTGCTCGCAAGGAAGAAAGTTCATTGATCTGAGAGACACAACAAGTCAATAAGCATTGGGTTTTTAGGAACCGGTTCTCTTGCTTCTATTATCCATTTCCAACGTGATTGATTCAAGAGATTGAACAACACAAAAAGGAAAGGACAGTAGACATCTCTGAATGCAAGATCAAACAGTATCAAGTTTGAATCTTCTTCTTCCGAATCCGAACTTGTACGGAGCAAACTTTAGCTCGCTGAGAGACTTTTACTCTAAACCGAATCAATTTAAGATTGAGACTACAAATGTTCAATCGGAAATTAAGTTCGGTTTAAGTTTTTCGTTGTTAAAGTCGCTTAAAGGGCCGTTTGGCTATAAAGAAAATCGTTATTAACAGAAAGCCCATGAAGCCCAACAAAATGTTTAAAGGACACGTGTGAGAAGAGTGAAGCATTGTCACGAGATCTCTATCTGCTCGGTCGTGAAGTTATCATTCCCTCGTGCCTTTAACCATCTGCTTCCGCTTATAAGTTAGCACCAAATCTCACATTTTCAGTATCTGGATCGAGAGGGGTTTAACAAGCTGGGTTTAATCGAATCCCCTATCTCTACAATTTGGCGCCTTTCAAACTCGATTCGGTTTCTTGGTACCTCCGCAAGCCACAAACTTCTTCCAATTCTGCTCCTTCGCTACGATTTCGTCCCTGGGTTCCGCGTTTGTCCGTTCCTTCTTCCTCGTTGATTCTGCTGCTCCGGGGGTTTCAGAATGCTTCTCCGGTAAACATTTCAATTCTGCTTATCGGATTCGTTTTTTAATTGGTGCGCTCCTATGTCGTGAACTTGACTCGCTGAGTTTCTAGGGTTAAGTATTGATTTTGATTAGGAAATAATTGAGCTTTACTCACCTTTAATCTTCGTTTCCTGTATTGGGAAAATGGGTTTTGATATGTGATTGGTTCAATTTTTGTTTCCATTCTGAAGTTTTATCCTCTCTTATGGCTTTTCAGGTTCCGAGAGAAGAACTAGCTCCGAATTAACAAACTTTGGTCTCAGAGGAATGCGCATTTCGTTGGGTTGATTCAAGAAATGGTTCTACCTGTTACGCTGTGTAAAGCTGTAACAAGGGTTGAAGATGACCAATGGAGGCGGGGAGGGTGGAAGTCAACAGAGAGAGCCACACAGGAAAAGAAGTGATTTTACCTACGCGCTCGCTAGAATGGCCGTGGCGCAGATATGCGAGACCGTCGAGATCAACACTTACCAGGAATCACAGGCGCGAGAAGGTGTGAGGTTCTGTGCTTTTCAGGAGTCCGCGCTCGATTCTCTAACCGATGTGGTGATCCAATACATTCAAAGCATTGGGAAGACGACGCAGTTCTATGCTAATATGGCTGGTAGAGTAGAAGGTAATGCTATGGACATTGTTCAAGCGTTGGAGGATTTGGGGTCTGGATTGGGGTTTGATGGTGCTCCTGATATAGAGCATTGTCTAGCTGATTCTGGTGTAGTCAAGGATATTATTCGTTATACAGGGGAAGCGGAGGAGATGCCGTTTGTTTACTCTCTTCCTCGGTTTCCTTTTAACAAAGGGAAGAGACGAGCTCCTAGCTTCTCTGAGAATGGAGCAGAGCCACCAGATGCGCATATTCCAGTTTGGCTTCCTGCTTTTCCTGAAACCAAGATTTCTAACGGTGTGGAGGAGGAGACTAATGTTGAGAAAGTAGAAGGATATGTGCAAAGTAAAGAGAACGGACCGTCTTTGGCGAGTGTGCAGCAGTCTGTGGATGTTGATAGGTTGAAAGTTCAGAAATCTATGGATCCAAAGGATGTTCAGAAACCAACAGAGGAGCCAGAAGGCAACCCGTTCCTTGCTGCACCAGTTTGGGTTGGAGAGAAGAATGTGCCTCGTGTGTTTTACCCGTCAGAGCTTACAAATGAAGAAGTTGGCGTTAGTCACGTTCCTGAGAAACAAATGAACAAGAGCCATCACATTCCACCCCTCGAGGCGTATGCTCCATCTGATATGATCAGCGAGAAGAACAGATTAGCTGAAACGGAGGATGGAGAGAGAAAAGATGGTGCAAGAACACCGCGCGCCTTGCTTCGTTTTAAGATTGGGAGTCGAAAGGCCTCTGTGTGTTGGACGACAAAACAGAGCTTAGAGGAGAAGGGTTGGTTTCAAGAGGATGGAGACAAGAAGGGGAAGAAGGTAGAATGCGAAGAGAAGTGCGAAAGTATTGGCACTGATGTAAAATAGGTATTTTGTCATTTAGAATTTGTAGACGGAATATCTTTACATCTTGAGTTTAGTGATAGTTTGCAATTGAATAGAGATTTTTTTTACTGACATACTGCTTGAGGAATAGAATCGTGTTTGGTCTTTAGCATCGTCATTTGCTGTTTGTTCAAATGAGGATACAAAATCTCATTTCTAGTGAAAGTTAACTTTCCTTGTAAGTGTGTGTGGCAGAGTTAGTAATTCAAACATAGTTCAGAATTGTTGGAAGAATTGAGGTTTGCTGAAATATAACATTATTGAGCTTTATCTCGAGTTAAGTCTTTACATAAACAATTAAGAAGATGACATAAGAAAGGATTCAGAGAACAAAGAAACCAAGTGTTCTCAACTCTGTAAAACGGATGGGTTTAGATTCCTTCATTTACAATTCTAAAGTGATGAATAATTAGTAATGGAAAAGCTGCCTGGGTTGCCCACTGAGCATTCCTGGAAAAGCTGCCAACTCGCTTGTCACAACTTCACTGATCAGATCCTTGAAGATTAGCCTCTCAATGTCTAACACTATCCCTGGTGTCTCTCCTTCAATCTCCTTCCAGTTCATGCCTTGGCTTTGCAGGTCCTCCCAGATGAGGTCTTCATCGTCTTCATCCAGTATACACTTTGAGTTATCTTGCAATCGATCAATCTCTGAACACAGAGTTTGCAGAAGTTCTTTCCCTCTTGAACTTTTGTCGGTTGTCCTCAGCGGGCTGATGGATGATGTTATGGATGGCTGCTTCGTACACCCTTGTTCCATGAATTTGTGAGCTAAGATCTCGTTGATGGTGTCAAATACGAGCTTCCTCCTGCTTCTCTCTATCAGGTTCGCCGTTTGTTGTTGTCCGAATCCTCTGCCTTTGAGTTTGTTGTCCTGTTGAGTCACAATGCTTGTCTTGTTCTGTTCCAGGACAAAGAAAAGGTTCGGATTGATCGGTAGGTGCGCTTGGTGCAGCTGAAGGCTTATCATGCTGTAGTCGATGTCTCTTAGAAGCCCTGATGCCAACAGTATCTCTGAGATGTAGATGTGGTCGCCATTTTTGAACTCCTCACCTTCATCATTAAGTTCGAGATCAGGCTGCTTTAGACTCGCATTACTCTCAGGCCACACAATCGATCTACATAAGTTGCGGTGCTTGTTCATCCACTGGGACTCTTCAGAACTTAGATGATCCTCCTCTGTGGCAAGAGAAATAGTAAAAGGTGAGAAATGTTGATATATGTAACGAGTTCAATATCAATGAAATTTTCTCAGTGACTCACCTTTAAAGAGAACGGATATCTTCCTCACAGGGGATGGTGACTCATCTTCATCAAAGGCTACATCAAGAACTGAAACCGGGCTAGGCTGCTCCACCGTAACTTTCAGAGGTTTTGGCAACGACCTCATTCCCAATTCTGGACTCTGCATTGATAAACAGATATATTCAGTGAAACATTTACTAGTGAAAAAAATTGTGAAGTGTGCTTTAGGAGAAGAGATTATAATACCCTTTGTTTTGGGGTGTGCTGCTCGGAGCTCTCATACTTATATCTGCTTGTAACCTCAATGTCAAGGTTAGAGGCCAAGCTTACGTTGCTGTCAGATCTTAGACTCCTCAAGTCACTGCTTTCGTCACTTAAACGGTCTTCAGACTGCTGCAGGCCGCGAGATTTCATCCCTGGTTTTCTTCTTGGTGAGGCTGATTCTGTCTGTTGCCTAGTGAGTTGTTGTCTCTGGATCTTGTATGGTTCTGGTTTTGGAGATGTTGGTCGAGACTGCTTCTCGAATCCGAGCTTCTTCGGCGGTGTTCTTGGGCTGACATTAGGCTTCTGGCTTTTCCCTGACTTGGTCGTGTCGCTTTTAGATTGTAATGGCCTGGTACTAGTGTTTTTCGTTGCGGAATCTGTCTGGCCAACCTTGTAAAATCCCGGCCTAGGTGTCACCTCCATGGCGCTCTGCTTCCTCGGAGGGACTTTCTGCGTTTGCCTCATGTTTCCAACGTTAACATTTGGTAAAGCAACCCTCCGCGGTGAGAAAGAAGGAGAAACAGAATTGCCCGTCTCTTTGAAGACTGGAACCGCCGCTACTTTCATAACCACGATAGAGGAAGATCTGATGTTGTTGGACGACGGGCTTGTTGATTGATGATCAGCTCTCTGCATGTTGTTGTTGTCGTCATCTTTGCTTATCAACTGGTGAGTTTTCTCCATGGCTTCAAGTATTTGTTTCAGAGCTCTGAGATCTTTCTCAGACTTCTTGAACTCAAGCTGCGAAAGCCGCTTCTGTATCTCACCGTAAACTGTCATTGTAGTAGCAGCATCAGCTGCTTTGAATTGGTTCTTGCCAGCTTCACCTTGCGACCATGGAGCTGCTTTCATTGGAAACTTAGCAGGCATCGTCTTCTTGACTGAGCCACAACTTCTTGATCTTTGTAGTACATCTGCTTCCGCTCGGTAAGTTGGCCGTGGGGAGTCACAGAAGCGGTTGTCTCTGTTCGTATCAGTGACTGACTCGTCTGGAATGGCGTCAAGACCCATCAGTTTGGCAACGACACTGGATGTTGTTCTCCTGTGACCCGTTACAAGCTCTCGCGGCTCTGGTGAGGAACTAGATCTTGCGCTTCTGAAGGAAGTCGATCTACTGTCTAACGACAACCTTGGTGTCTCTTTCAACTTGGGGCCTGTCTTTCTCGTCTCCCTCTCATCGTAAGAGAACCGAGGACTGTCTTTCAGCTTCACTACTCTCCGTCCATCGCTCCATTCGTTAGAATTCCGAGATGGTGATGACTCTTTGAGAAGAGACACGTTAGCTCTGGCTGATTTAGTCTGCTGAGACAAGGTTTCTTCTTCATCTCTGGTTCTCGTCTCCTTGTGAATGGAACTTCTCACAAGCTCCCTTAAATCACTCGACATCATTAAACCACCTCCCCACCTTGGTGACTCGTTAGTCGGTTCTCTTGCCGGATTCTCACCGTTATTCGTGGGCTGTTCAAACTGAGAAGTTGTGGTGCTGATATCTGCAGATGAGAAGCTAGAGGAGCATGGTGAAGAAGAAAACGACAGCCTCGAGGATGACTCAGAGGAGACTCCCCTCTGTTTCTCCTTTGCAGCCTTCTTCTTCTTGCTCTTCTCCTGCAATTCCAGTAAAATTAAATCCATTTTTCTGCTGTATATTATCATTTCTCAAATGGTTACAGATTCTTACCGTTTCCTTGTTGTCCGTTGAAATGTTCGTATCACCGACACTGACACTTGTTTTGCCTGCCAAAAATCCCCAACCAAATTTAGCTTTTAACCAATACCAAGTTGCGTTAGACAAGTACAGAGGCTTAGACAGTATTGACCATCTAGAGACAAGTCATGTTCTAGAGCTTTGTTTTTTTTTTTCCATCTTTGTGGTCCTGAACCTTAGATTTAGGATCTCAGTCAGAAACTAGAATACAAAAACAATGTCTTATGTTGAACAACTTTTTCTTCAGGTTTTAATGGAGAGGACATTGCAAGCAAAAGACTTTAAAGAAATATAAGGGAGAGAATTGTTACCTGAAGGCAGAGACTTTAGCTCATCACCGGCGACGGCAACACGCCTCGCCGGATAATGCTGCCGGTAAAACACCTGAAATATCCCATTCATACATCCAATCTGTTTGTTCAGATTTGGATTCTCATCTGACAAGTTATACAAAAGCTTCGCCGACATCTTCTTCTTCTTAGCTCTGGTCTCACAAGGTTTTGGCTCTAGAAAACAATGGAACTCTAGGATTTTCTCATATCAGTTCTTGAAAACCTCCAGTTTCTTGTTCCTCCTCTGTTTAGTGTCTTAGAAGGAGTTGAAGCAGAAGAAGAAGGAGAGACAAGAGGACAAGGAAGAACCCAGCATTAAGACAAAGGTAAAGCTACTTGTGAAGTTATGACCAGACAAGATATTAGGTTTCTCTGTATTTGTTCTCTTGGAGGGTTCCTTGAAGAAGAAAGAAGAGAAGAAAAAAAAAAGTTTATTTTTTGTTTGTGTTGGTTGAGAGAAATGAGTCTGTAAAAAGGCAAAGAGCTCTCTCTACAATTATATGGAGAAGCCTTCGAAGCATATATAAACATCAGTTATGTAAATGTATATATACACATGCGTGTACACATGTCTACGTGTGTATCCGTAGATTTATACATGTAAGAGAATGTAATTGAATTGTTTAATATTTTAATGGTTTAAAGACTTAAAAAAATGAAAATTTATGACACAGCACTGAAAAAAATCTGCTTGGGAATAATGAGGTATCTATTTTTTATGCATCTCTGATGAAAGTGATGCACATGAAAGCACAGACCAAATTAATTTCTTTTTCTTTATCATCTTTTAATTCAAGAAGACAAAGGACATTGGATAAATCACAAATCTCTTCATTTTCTGGATTACTCGATTTTTTTATCCGAGTTTTTCTATACACTTGCTTTCAATCCAAGTTTCTGTAGACAGTATTTGTTTATCTTACTAGTTGGTCACCAATGGTGATGTATCTACACTTTTAATTAATTTCTTACAAACAGATTAGATGGTACAATTACTAACAATACTATTAATAATAATTAATGAACAGGGAAAGGAGATAATAAATGAAAAAAAGAGGTTTCCTTACACATCCATGTGGACAAAATAATGTGGGTGGGTCTCATAAGTCTTTGGTGCCCTTTTACATATGCATGTGGAGTTTGTCAGAGACAGACAGCAGAATTTTTATTTTACAAACAAATAAATATATTAAGAGAAAATCCAATTAGACCCAAAAAAAAGATAAGAGAGGAAACTAATGGCCAAAAACAAATTTACAATTAATTGTTTAGGAAGAAAGTGGATTGGTGCACTGGAAGAAAGCTTGCATGGTCTGAGATTGGTGGGTCTTACAAAGGAATAATTTTTATTTTTGCCTTGTTCTGAGCTTCACAAAAATATTGTTTTGTTAAAGGATGTTCATTTTGTTTTGCGATTATGTATTCCCATAATTCTAACTATTTCAAATTACTTTTTCTCTATCAAACACCTCCGATCAAATATATGTTGAATTGTTTTCGAAAGACTTTATAAGTCAAGAACTTTGTTTCATTATGATATAAATATAATATCAGGAATTTAAGCTTGTGTTATGAGGTGGAATAATGTCTTTTTGGTATTTTGTTTTTATCTTGATGTTGATATATTGATTTGAGAGTTTATGTCATGCGATGTACTAGTTAAACACCTTTTGGGCGGATCACGTGCTTTTGTTCAACTATGTGCTGTGAAGAAGGTGGGGTTTGTGAACTTACTTATTTATTTCATATTCAAATGATTTGATATATTTAGTCATTTAAACGAAATTACCTTGTGGCCTTGGAAGTAACCAAGGAATATGCTGCACATGGGCAATTAGTGAGAGTTTGCGAATCAAAAATCATCATCATCTACATACACTCTCGTTACCAAGCGTGTTTAGGATTCTTATTTCTATATTATTATATCTATATACATCTAGCTGATAATGATATAACCATAAGTACTTAATTATCATTTTTCTATACCATACAAACAAAGTAGTACTATTTGTTCTCTATGAATTAGTATACTAAATTCGTTAAAATAAAAATGTAAACATGCGTAAAATTACTCAAACGTATGAAAGATATTTTTTATTCCCAGATATTTTGAGGTGTTTTTAGAAATTTGAGAATGTGTGAAAAAACGAGGGGTACGAACTAAGAAGTTGACCATGGACCTTGCTTTGTTTTGGTAATGTGCTTTTCCAAGTTGACTTTTTTGCATTGACCATTAATCCCCAAATCAGTACATGTATCACGCATCGATCACGCCATGCAGCATCTATGACTATGACATCAGGTAAACTAAACCCATTAATAGATAATCAACTATATTCTATAACATTCATATAAATGTCATGACAACAATTTGTTATTAAGTAAATTCCATGTGAATGTTTCATGTCTGTTAAGTAAATTTCATTAGGTTTTATCCACACAAAAAGTGGTCAAATACAGTAAACGTACAAGTTGGAAACAGATCAAAGTAGTGGGAAACAAGGGGAACCAATTGGCAAGTGCAACTGAAAAATAGAAGGGGAACAAAACCACATGAAGCAAAATTAATTTTTGATTGAAATAATATACGTAATATAAATTATCATTAGTAATTAAGTTCGAATAAAATCAAACCTCAGAGTGTGGTTTCGTTTACGATAAGTCTTGATATCCATTTTAAATTCAACTATTGGCACATGCTTCCGCTTTATCACCCACCCTTTTATACATTTGTTTGGTTGCACCATTAATTTTAAGTGCAGTTTTCTTAATTTCCCTTACTTAACACAAACTAGTATTCCAAATACGACACTATATTAGTCATGTAAAAAAACAAACTTTATAAAAAAAAAACTTTATCAAAAAATGTAAAAAAACAAACGTGTGAAAACTGAAAACCCATTTCGGTATTAAAAATACGTATGAAAAATGCAAGACATATAATCTAATGAATTAGGGGAAGAGTACTTTTTTTGTTAAAATTAGGGGAAGAGTACTTACTAAATACAGTGGATATATATTTGAGTTAAAGCTAAATACTAGGGAAAATATGATTAATTCGTCATGTATGTAATATGTGTATGCAAATAGGCAGACAAAGTCATGAATTCTGTCACAGAAATGCGATTCGTGAGACCGTTTTGATTAGTGATTCGTTAAAAGCAATCTTTCATGTAACGTACACATTGTTTCGCTAGACACATCAATTAGGTCAACTCGCAGAACATAGATAATAGATATCGCCGAGAGAATTTTTATGTTCCCAAAACAAAAGGGCTAGAGTTTGCAAGTAACAAAAAAAGAGTTGTATAATCTATGAACTAAAATATGTTATAGATTAATTTGAACTTCATATATACGATCAATGTACATAAACAACAATAATATATACGATGAATGTAAAAACAGTCACTTATTTTACCCCAACCATTTAAGTACTTTAGCAAAATCGCATGATTAAAAATATATTCAGTGTCGGTTGTGATCTAGATCAGTACAGTATATATGTGAGTGAAAGACCTATGAGTAGTAAAATTCACTCTTTTTCTTTTAATCTTATGGTCCAAAATAATTTTTTACTATCAATGAGCAATAGGCTTTACCAATATTAAGAGCATTGGTTGGAAGTTGAACCCAGCCATTACTATTAGGTACATTATTAATGTTATGGTGTATGGAGGATTAATAAGGGAAATAAGGAAAGTCAAGAAACAAAATTACAAGATCAAAGCATGCAAGTTTTGGCAACTACATTAAGTCTTAATGTATTAGATAATAGTTCTCATCTTATGCACATGGCAATTTGGTGCTTTCTTCATATATACTCAAAAGCTAATAATATAAAAGAAGTTGGTTAAAATATGAGCCAGCAATACTAAAGATTTTTGGTGAGGGGGGATCTAGTGGTTAATTAAAAAATATAATCACTTTTATATTCCCTAAACATATGTAATCCTAATCTGCCCAATACTACCAACCTCCTTTTATGATGAATGCCTTATTGGAAAGTGCTAAAATCAAATCATGATATATTGCTCGTAACTAACTAAGATTATATATTAATAAATATTTAAACTAAACCAACGATGTGTATCTACATTCTCGGTCTATGAGACTCGTGAAGGATTCTATGATGATTATAGCAATCTTTCCACCTTTACGATTTGATTTTGTTTGCTGGGGTTTGATCTGCTTAAAAAGCCAGGAATGGATGTCGTGTAGATTTTAATCCACATCACGATTACTTATGCATATAAGAATCCATCATATGCATCTGTTATTCGGCTGTGTATAATTAGTTTTTTTGGCGTAAACTTTTTATAGCTAGCTTGTTTAGTTAAAAAAAAAAATCTTAACTATGTATAGGTTAGGTTATAAGTTTAATTGCGTGTCTATGGGGCTCTCAATTTTTTGGGGTTAACGAATAGTGTATTCCTCAAGTTGTTCCAAACTTCCAATCATATGGGCATTCCATTTTTATCTGCATCGATAACCCTAAGCTTAATTAAGAAGCGAACAAGTTGTTAATTGTAAGTTTGTGACTTCATTAAATTCGTCTTCTCTGGTTTTCAATTAATTAATTCATTTATCTTCCTTAAAAGAATTTACTTCAGCACATACGAGGGTTGGGAAATGGAAACATAGTAGTATAGCAGACTTAACAGTTAACACCACAACAAAGTAATTAATAAACGTATAGTATACACAATCACATTGAGACATTGATTAACTGACAGCATGGAGTTCATGTAAGCAAAGATTCAGCTCCCGCGAATGTAAGCAACTCTTTTCATAGATATTATATTTTGGATACAAAGATTCAAACTCTTACTTTGATAAATTAAGCCACCAAAATTCCACTGCTAGGATATTAGATGTCAATGATACTATATCATGTGATTGTAAGTGTTAACGCTAATTTGAATGGTTATATAAAATATTAAACAAATGACAGACATGAATCATGATGCCATTTTCTTATGAACCTCGTTCTTATCTTTAACTAGCTTGGAAATTTAGATCCATTAGTTAAAAATGTCAAGTCATATGTGATATATCAATGGAATTTGATTTAATATTTATCCACATAAATAAATAAATAAAATGTACTTTTTGAAACAACACTGTTATTATAAATAATATAGTTTCTTTCATAAAGCAGGGAAATTCAGATGTAAAAAAGTGAGGGTTTCTTCCGTATATCACATGTCCATTGCCATTCTTCAACGTCACTTATAAATCTAAGTCAACGAAAAAATATTGTCCGTAGGATGCTGATGATGATGGTCATGATGAAGATCATGATGATGATCGTACATATCGTGATGGTCCCTGTAGTCATGGCCTCTCGTGGTTACATCCTCCTTTGTCAGAGTTTTTGGGAAACTTTTATTCTCTTTTTGGGTTTATTCATCGAAAACTAAAAAAGAAAAAGAGGAAGACTAGCTCCGAAAAGTTTGCACTAACTTGGTATTTTGAATTTTCTACTTCCAAAAGCTTTATAAAAAAAAGACACATCTGTATAAGATTCTGCAACAAATAGGCCAATAAAAAACTAAAGAAGCTCAGAAGAACGTTGGGCTTTTCCTTTAACCCTCTCTAGAGCCCTAATACAATTTCTAGTTTAACATTTTAACTTCTAAATCTCTAAAAGCCCATTCCAACATCTCTTTCAAGCAAGACGAAGATACAAATTTGATGGTTTTCTGCAGAAAGAAATCTACTTCAAAAGTGCATATCAACTTATCATCTAATGCAATATCGCCTTTGTGTATTTCAATGTCGCTTTGGGCCACATATTTCTTGACCAAAAACACATGAACCGGATAGTTTGGACCGTTGACCTCCAACAATAACGAGCTACATAATCGTTAACCAACATAATTTTCAGACATGCTCGTTGACCAACATAATTGTCAGAATTTGGGAGAGCAATCCATTTAGTCGTTGTTTGTCTGTCTAGATAACATAACTAATGCTTGTACATTGGTTATTAGCTGTAAACTTCCATTAGATATGCAAATCATTTGATATAACAGAAATGTTACGAATATACTAGTATAAAAAAAATTATACATTTTGCACTTGCATAATGGCCTGCCTCTATTCGCTATCTATAATCGTATAGATAAAATACATAACTTTGTGGGTTGTCACCGATTCAGAAGATTCCAGCTTCTATTTTAATACTATACACAACCATAAGATGATTAAGAACATATTAAACAAAAAGAAAAAACACATGGTTACAAAACGGATTTACACCAAAAAAAACAAAATTGTCACAAACAGGTTTTGATTATTTTTGTCAAAGTTTAATTCAAATTGGCTACATAATTGTATAGCACTAAAAACAACAATTGGAGGGGGTTATATAAAGCAGAAAAACCGGTATGATGACAAAACCGTTTAAATATTCAAGTGATGTACCAACCACTTAACCTCACACACGTGCTTACCATAACTACATGCCCCTTTCTCACCACACATTGTCTTACACGTGTATATATATCTACATACATGTGCATGTGTGTATCTCTCTTTGTTCCTCTGTTTCTCTGCCTTGTTTTGCGGCCAATCGTTGAAGAAGAGGAAACAAACCAGAGAAAGGTAAAAAAAAAAAAATCACTCTCTCTCCTATGTGTCTTTAATGGTTCACAATTATCCAAACTCTATTGATATGGATTTCTCAATCTAAATGTAACACATTGTTGGATTTTTCAAGGATCAGTGGCGGAATTTTCTCGCCGGAAAAATGGGGAAAGCTAGAGGCATTAACAGTGGCGGCGGAGAGAGCTCTCTTGGTTATCTCTTTGGATCCGGCGAGTCTGTTCCTAAGCCCAACAAGGCCAACACTAGCTTTACAACCACAACGACCACCACAACAACCACCGACGGAGCTGGAGGCAGACCCACGACCACGACGACAACCACCACCATCGGAGATAAAAACAAGACGGAGGAGGAGAAGAAGCAGATCTCGGCTGGTGTAAGAGGAAGCCCTAATAATTACCACAGAACAGAAGGACAAAACTGTGGCAACTTCCTCACGGTAATAATCATTAATCAATATAAGATCTTTGAGTTTGAATGTTTGAGAAATTGCAACTGGTTTAAATAACAAAATGTGTGTTTTGGGAAAAACAGGAACGACCATCTACGAAGGTTCATGCTGCACCAGGTGGAGGTTCTTCTCTTGGTTACTTGTTTGGATCTGGAAATGAGAAATGATTTGAATTTCCCACGACGACTTCAGCTTTTGTTCCGTTGAAAAAAGTGTATAAAAACATGTAACAGTTTCTTTTCTCGTGTGTTCTTGAAAAGGATTTGTCAATCAATCTATGGTTTCAAAAGCTAGAAGCTTTCTCAAACTTGAGATCTCGAGAATGTGTTTCTAAAGTTTCTAGCAACAAAAACATTTACAAAAACCTTGCTATGCGGTCCAATGTCTTGGGACTATTTCAGGTCGAAAACGATTCCTCTATCCATCAAAGAAATGTTAAGTAGAAAGCTTTTTAAATTCGTTGCTTCTGCATTATTAAAAAAAAAAAACGTGAATCAGAGACGTATAGGTAACAACACTTGGTGCAAAGTCTTCTTCATCCATCATCTTAAACAACTTCTCCTAATGACACTAGTCTCAGTCTTTATTCTTGCAAAGAGATATTCAGCTGATTCAAAATCATTCGCAAATATGAAATCTTTCTGATCATATAACCAAAAGAACACCGATCATGAGAGGGACCTCTTTGCATATTCTGCTGTTGCTGTAACCAAAAAAATATGTTTATGATCATTGGATTTGGATGTATGTTGACAAAACCGTTTATTTCCCTCCTTTAATTGTTGGGCCGGATCCGGTTTAATTCTAAACCGGAAAAAACATAAAGCGTCGTCGACTAGGGTTTTCATTTGTTCCTTCTCTCTCTCTCTCTCTCTGCTCGGCTGCTGAAGAACTTTTGCTACGGATTAACACACAGTCGAGAAGATAGACGGAGATTCGAATCAGAGCAAAAAAAGATGACGACGATTGTTCCCACCTCCGAAGAAGATCCTTCTCTCGCCATAGTCCGTTTCACTTCCCAGCTCGCCTGGGCCGATGCTGGTCCCGAGGTACCGCTTTGTTTCTCGATCATCAACACGTGCCAACGATCGTATATATTGATGGTCTCATCCATATATAATGGATTTCGAAAGTCATAGATTATGCGACTATTGATTGAATTCGTGATTCTAATATAGCTATTGCGAAATTTTGGTCTGCTCTTATCCAGCTAAATTTATTCGAATTGCGCAATTTAGTGTTTTAATTACTATGATTGAAATCTCCCTTCTCCCAAAAGAATTAGCCGCATTGTGGAGTTGCTCGATTAACTAATGCTTCCTTTGCTTAGGCTGCAGACCCTCAAGTTACCAGACTATGCAGGGAAGCAGAGGAGTCTATTGTAGCTGGAAGGTGGCTGGAGTTGGCAACGTTACTGGTTACTTCAGCTGACTTGGTATCGTCCAAGATCTCTGAGAAAGGTCTGTCTTTTACCATTTGAATATTCTCATAGTATATGTTGTATTCGGCGTGATTCATGCGTAATTTTTATATGTTGTTTGCTCTCTTATCAGATTTTGAGTGTACCTACACCATAATTTGCAGCCTTGTCAAGAATGTGGAAAGTCCTGACGAAGTCCTTGAAATGGTGAAAGCTATCGCTTCTAAGGTTGTTCAACAGCCGAATGACAAAGCTTCATTGCGTTTGAAAATGTAAGTTCGTGCGCATAGGACTCTTTGAGCTAATGTATCGTATATATTGTAATATGCTTCTTCTCATTTGTTGCTTGTCTCTTTGCAGCCTCTTCAATCTGTATAATCTGCTGGACAACCCAACTGCTCGTTTTCAAGTATACATGAAAGCGCTAGAGCTGGCTGTGAACGGGAAGGTCACTGAGTATTTAGTGCCTTCCTTTAAGAAGATTGATAGCTTCTTGAAAGAGTGGAATATTGACATCAAAGATCAGAGGGAGCTGTTTCTTGCCATTGCGAATGTGTTGAGAGAAAATAAAAGGTACTGCAACAATGTTTCTTTCCTCTCTTTTCTGTTTAGGTATACCAATGGCCTCATGGTTTATTTTTTTTTATTTTTAATAATATGTATTCCAGTTTGGCGAAAGAATCCCTACAGTTTGTGACAAAATACTTGGCGACTTTCTCCAATGAGGATACTCAGGTCCTGAGTGAAGCCAAAAAGGAAGCTGTACGAGCAGTTCTTGAATTTGTCAAGGCTCCCACTATCTTTCAGGTATCATAATTTATAAAGCATCATTTGATTCATATGCGTAAGATTTTGTTCTTGACTTGTCAAATAACTTTTTCTATTCTTAAATTGCAGTGTGATCTACTAGACATGCCTGCCATCGCACAACTGGAGAAGGATACTAACAATGCACCAGTTTACCAGTTGCTGAAGATCTTTCTTACTCAGAGGCTGGATGCATTCATGGAATTCCAAAACGCGAATTCAGGATTTCTGCAAACCTACGGTACTGTTCTTATCCCTCTATGTCCAGATGAATCCGTAAATCTTTTACTGAACAGTCGAGTATTGAGTATTCAGCTTAATAAGCCAAAAGATGGTGTTTGCAGGGCTTGTCGAGGAAGACTGTGTGGCGAAGATGAGATTGCTGTCACTTGTGGATTTAGCCTCAGATGAATCTGGCAAAATACCGTATGCCTCTATCAAGACCACTCTACAGGTAAAGTTTCTTTTGCTTGTACAAGACAGAGCGTTGATATAACCTTTTTCTCCCTTTGCTTCTCAGACTCATATAATTTGTTGGGTTACAGGTAAATGACGAGGAGGTTGAATTGTGGGTGGTTAAGGCAATAACTGCAAAATTGGTTGATTGCAAGATGGATCAGATGAACCAAGTTGTACTAGTTAGCCGCTGTGCTGAGAGAGAGTTTGGACAAAAGCAATGGCACTCTCTTAGAACAAAGCTTGCAGCTTGGAAGGTAAACACAAACTACAATTTTGGAATAGCGTATGCTTATGTAATGATATTATGTTTCCTTGTTTCATGTCACATTTGTGTTTGTACAGGAGAATATTGGGAATGTGATCAGTACACTTCAAGCGAACAAGGTAACAGAAGAAGGCACTCAGGGCTCATCATCATCAGCAACTCAGGGATTGACTGTCCGTTGAAAGATTTCTTAGAAGAAGCGCTTCTCAAATCTTACGAGTGATCTTTGTCATCTCACTAGCCCGTTTATTGTATTCTTTTGCAGAGTTTTCTTGACCGTTGGATCTTTCGATTCGGCTTTCTTCTTTGCGTTGACCTCTTTTTGTCCCTTAGATTATGCGGAGACTTTTTTGTATACTTTCTCAAGAGAGTTTTCTTCGGCCGAGCCTATTAAATTCACAATTTCACAACTTAAGACATAGCCCAAAGATCCATATATGGTTTCACGAAGTAATCTAAAGACGCAACGGCTCAATCATTTTCGGTGGTTGTTACGGAGAAAAAGTCTGGAAAATCAGAAAAAGCTTAGAAAGATGGTAAGCTAAGTTGGGAGATATGTAAATGTCTGAAGTTGACACATGGCCAGTCCCCACTTCTTATGTTTGTCTTCAACCCCAAGTCATCTTCTCACTTCTCATCTTTGAATCAAGAATCATTAGGGTTCAATATCTTTAATAAAAAAAAAAAAAGGACAGTTGAGATGTTGTGTTCGGACAAGAACACGTCAATTTCTGTTGCTGTTATATTATCAAATCACCATGAACATTGCTTAAAGTTATGGGAAACAAGAAAGAATAAATTTGGCGAATGCAACAACAAGTAGGTAAAGCCCACATTCAGACCAAAAATAAACTCATCACTAGTCTGTGAAAAGCTTCTGTTTAAATCCATTAACACAAATTCCTAGAGAAGAAGAAACTGGAATAAATTTCCTTAGATCTCTGTTAGGAAAATTACAGAAGATGAGGCTCTTCTTCTCCTTCTGCTTCTTCTTCATGATTATCTTTAGTGCAAGTGAGTCCTGATATTCATTTTCCCCAGTTATCTGCAAAACTTTAACATATCCTTTCTTACTCTTGTCTATTTTTTTTCCAACAGCTGCTTATGATCCATTGGATCCAAATGGGAACATTACAATAAAATGGGATATCATGTCCTGGACAGCAGATGGCTATGTGGTAAGATTGTGTTTCAAAACATGCACGAACTCTCATCAGCTCTATCCATTAACTATATACATTTGCAGGCAACGGTAACTATGAACAACTTCCAAATGTACCGGCACATACAAACCCCTGGTTGGACATTAGGGTGGGCATGGGCGAAGAAAGAAGTGATTTGGTCAATGGTTGGTGCGCAAACAACAGAACAAGGAGACTGTTCCAAGTTCAAGGGAAACGTACCTCATTGCTGTAAGAAAACTCCAACAGTCGTTGATCTCTTGCCAGGTGTCCCTTACAATCAACAGTTCGCAAACTGTTGCAAAGGCGGTGTAGTTGGAGCTTGGGGTCAAGATCCTTCCTCCGCTGTATCACAGTTTCAGGTCAGTGTTGGTTTGGCTGGAACCACAAACAAGACCGTCAAGGTTCCTAAGAACTTCACATTGCTTGGTCCTGGCCTTGGTTACACTTGCGGTCCTGCCAAAATCGTCCCATCTACTGTTTTCCTCACCACTGACAAACGGCGAAAGACACAAGCTTTGAGTAAGTAAAAATTGGAAGTGAGCTTAGTATTCAGATGCGAATGATCTCTAAACATAGTTTCAAACTCATGTTTATGCAGTGACATGGAATGTTACATGCACATATTCACAGTTTCTAGCTAGAAAGCATCCAAGTTGTTGCGTCTCCTTCTCTTCCTTCTACAACGACACTATTACTCCTTGCCCGTCTTGTGCCTGTGGTTGTGAAAACAAAAAGAGCTGCGTCAAGTGAGTTTAAACAAAAACAATCACTTGAATTCAATAACTCTTTTCTTTATCTGACAATGATTTTCTTTGTAGGGCTGATTCTAAGATTCTAACAATGAAAGGTCTCAACACACCGAGAAAAGACAATGCTCCTTTGCTACAATGCACACATCACATGTGCCCTGTTAGAGTTCACTGGCACGTTAAAACTAACTACAAAGACTATTGGCGTGTGAAGATAGCCATCACAAATTTCAATTACCGGATGAATCATACTCTATGGACATTAGCTATTCAGCATCCGAATCTCAACAATGTCACTCAAGTTTTCAGCTTTGATTACAAATCAGTTGCTCCTTATGGATCCATCAGTAAGTCTTCCTCTCTCTTTCTCTCAAAACAAACATTGAAAAGAAGACTAATAGTTTCTTGAATTTCTGTATGCAGATGATACTGGAATGTTCTATGGGACGAAATTCTACAATGATCTGTTAATGGAAGCTGGACCTTCAGGGAATGTTCAGTCAGAGGTTTTGTTACAGAAAGATCAAAAGACTTTCACTTTCAAGCAAGGCTGGGCTTTTCCGAGGAAAGTTTACTTTAATGGAGATGAATGTATGTTACCTCCACCAGATTCGTACCCTTTTCTACCAAACTCTGCACGAAGAAACTTCGATTCTCTCTCGACACTATCACTCACTATTCTTCTTCTTCTATTCATCTCAATCTGGTGATTTGATGCCTTTCAGAAACAGAACCAGCAACTGTTTTTTTTGTCTCTCTTTTTTTGGTAAATTCGATTTCAAAACAATATAAAAATGATTAGAGATGTGCTTAAGCCTTTTTTTTATCTTAATCTTCGCCGTTGATTTAATGGTTTTGTGCTTCTTGATCGATTCAACGCTTGCTTTTGTTACTATGACTGAGAAAGAGGCGAAAGAACGAAAGGCTATATCGGTAAAAGAACATTCTAAATTGGGCCGAAAATGGCACAATTTTACCGACCCAATTTAGGCCCGTTCTAGTATATATTAAGATTTACGCTTATGCGTTTCAGTATATTCGTTCGCATGTGTATTTTTCGTTGGTCCCAAAAGGCGAAAGGTCAAAACGGCGTTTTGTACTTTATGTTGGTAGATAACTAGATATTTTCCATTTGTTCGATACGGCTCTATTCATAGTCTGTTATTTGTTTATTCCACGTTTCAATGTCAAAACGAGTATGTAAGATAACATAATTCAACCTATATATATTAGTCCACCATTGAATATAATTTTATTGACCATAATCAGAATATGACTGCATATTAACTCTTATAAATGACATTTCTAATGAATTTTGAAATGTTAAAATGTTAACATAAGTACGTATTTGTGAAACAAAAATGCTGCGAGCAAGTCCACACGGTCCCCAAATTAAACGCCCCTTGATACGAGCTAGTAATTATTGAAAAGTTTGTGAGTCCTGCGACTGACCAAACGCGAACGCGTTTTTAAATTCTTCTATGTGTGTGGAAAGTATTTTTTTTCTCCTGACGAATCCCAGAGTTTGTTGAATTTGCCTCCAAGAAATCAGCAATTAGAAATTTCATTTCGCCGTCATCGTTCCACAATCGTCGTCGTCGTCTTCTTCTGCTGGGATTCGCTTGATGCAGATGTCTTCCTGAGTCGTAGGGGAGATTCGGTCATTTCGCCTCAAAACTCACTCTCGCCGCATTCGAAAGAGTTGTCATGAACACGCCGCCGACTTCTCGTGTCGCATCTTTTGGTCAGACGGAGATTAACTGGGACAAGTACGTTTCCATTTCCCTCAATTTCCTCAATTGATCCGCCTCTCTTCCTGTTTTGATTTCTTCTCTGTTGCGTTGTTAGTACGAATTGTTCATAATTTTCGATCCAGTTCTTCTGATTCTGCGATTGGTTCTTTGTTGGATTTATCCGCTTTTCCTTGGCGGCTGAGATGATTTTGTTAGCTTAAGATTTCCGAAATTTATAGGAGAGAATCTGTTTCTCTGGTCAAGAGATAAGCTCGATTCCAGAAATGATCTGTTTCCGTTGTTCAATTATCTTTGTTTTGGTGAAAGATCTAGGAGGCCTTTGATTCTTTCAGGATCTATATTCTCAGGGTATAATCCGAAGTTTTACGTCTAAGGCTCTTGCAAACTTACGAAATTGGCTGTAAAACTTCCGAATGTTACTAGTGGAATCTCACAGCAAATGATTGTGTTCTTATTCATTAGTTATCAGAATACACTACTTTGCTTGATCTTTTTTTTCTCATTCTTGCTCTAATCATGTGTCATCTTCTAACTTTCAGGCTTGACAAAAAGAGGTTTTACGTTGTTGGAGCTGGGCTCTTCACTGGTGTGACAGTAGCTCTATACCCTGTCTCCGTTGTGAAAACAAGGATTCAAGTTGCTTCTAGAGAAATTGCTGAGAGGAGTGCTTTCTCTGTGATTAAAGGCATACTGAAGAATGATGGTGTTCCTGGTCTATACCGAGGTTTCGGTACTGTAATTACTGGTGCGGTACCTGCAAGGATCATCTTTCTCACTGCTCTTGAGACCACAAAGATTTCTGCTTTTAAGTTGGTTGCACCTCTCGAGTTAAATGAACCTACACAAGCCGCCATTGCTAATGGCATAGCCGGCATGACCGCATCTCTTTTCTCACAGGCCGTGTTTGTCCCAATCGATGTTGTATGTATTTTTACACCACAGCTGCTTTTTAAGATCAGAAGCTCATGCTTTGAATGTTAGTTAGTTATCCCGATCTCTCATATTTCTGCAGGTTAGCCAAAAGTTGATGGTGCAAGGATACTCAGGGCATGCTACATATACTGGTGGTATTGATGTTGCCACAAAAATCATCAAGTCATATGGCGTGAGAGGCTTGTACAGGGGATTTGGCTTGTCTGTTATGACATATTCTCCTTCAAGTGCTGCTTGGTGGGCCAGCTATGGATCAAGCCAGCGTGTCATCTGGAGGTTAGGCATGAATTGTCAGTTGCGAAATAAACTAATGATAGTTTCCCTTTTAGTTTGATTGCCAGAACTGTCTATGATGAAATTGGAAATGACTAGTTCTTTGGATTATCTACCAAAGCTACTTTTTCCACTGATACAGTCTCTGCTACTGTTGAGCAGATTCTTAGGCTATGGTGCTGACTCAGAGGCGACTGCTGCTCCTAGTCAGTCAAAAATTGTTATGGTCCAGGCTATTGGAGGCATTATCGCCGGTGCAACAGCATCCTCAATCACAACACCATTGGACACTATCAAAACGCGATTGCAGGTATAAACTATCCCCATTTATAATCAAATTTGGTATTATATTGCATCTGCTTTGCTCGCATGAATATAAACAAACTCTTGAGTCTGTGGAATGTAATCGTTCTCAATGAGAGAACTGGTGTTTTTGTTGCTACATATATAGAAACTGGAATAATCATGCTGAGAATCTATGTGCAGGTGATGGGACACCAAGAAAATAGACCTTCAGCGAAACAAGTGGTGAAGGATCTGATAGCACAAGATGGGTGGAAAGGATTCTACAGGGGTTTGGGTCCAAGATTCTTCAGCATGTCTGCTTGGGGAACCTCGATGATATTGACTTACGAGTACCTAAGTAAGCTATCTTTTTTCTTTATATACCCAAAAATCTCACTTTGAGCCATTTTCCAAAGACATTCAAGATTCTTCTTTTGGAATGCTCACTTCTCTCCTTCTCTGACATGTTCATTGTTGCTTGATTTTTTTCAGAGCGTCTGTGTGCAGTAGAAGATTAGAAAAAGCCTCTCAATACTGTTCGTTGGTTTTTCTGCTTGGACTAACTCGAATAGACGCATAAACCAGATTCATATCTCGGTTATTTGGGAGCTTCCGTTTTTAACAATTGGACCATTCTATCAGCTTTTGATGTCTGAGATCCGTTATTGTAATCATTCTTTCAACTTTGCCTATTGGAGTGTATTCGTACAGCAGAAGAAATCATAGATTATGGTCTTCTGCTTTATTAGCTTCTGAGAGTTAAGAAGCTTCAAAACTTTGAAAAGAGCAATATAAGTGGTTTTTGCAACCAGTTCACCAGATCTTATAATTTGTGAATGTGATAACTAAGATTGAGTTTAGTTTTGCTTGAAATGATTTCTCGTTTGCATCACTGTCATTATCACAAACCTATTCTCAATCTCGTTGATACGATCACCATTATCAAGCAGCACACTATTATTGATTTACCAATTACCATAACCATTAGCATAATCTTCAACATAATGCTTACTTGGATGTTAGGCCACATTACACGTGAATAGTTTGTTCTGCTTATAAGTTTTTCGATGTTTGGGCCAACAAAAGCCTATCAACATATCTCGTGTGTTTTTTCTTAACCCTATATGTCTCAGTCTCAGTCTCAGTTATTTTTAAATGTCAACTCACCATATGGCTATATATGTGCATCTTATGGTTATTTTAAATTAATTAACAAAAAATCGTATATATACGGATAAATTCAAGATAAACACTAAGAAGTTTTACAAGAAAAAGTAGATAATATCTGTTTTTTTGTTATCAACCTATATTCCTGGAATTCGTAATTATTCTTTGAAATGTCCTACCTTCTATTAATGTGAATTTTTAATTTATCAAATAGATCGGAACAAAATCATATATAATGATGCATCATATAATGACTTAAACATGGGAGCTCTTAATAATTTCGGGGGACATTTTAGATTTTTTTATGTATAAAGTGTCCGTCACCTACGTGCATGTACTCTCGTTTATATGATAGGTACATGATGTGTCCAATAATCATAGACGACGTGCATCGACGAGCGGTCCACGACCACGACGTAAGGGTTACGGTTCAAATTTATATACTCTGGCATTATTTATTTTAATAATAATATTTAGCCTTTAGCATGACTCAAAATTTGTTGACAAAATATATTGAAAATATTGAGGATTCTATCGAATGATTCGAATAAAAAGCGAATCAGTAAAGAGTTGTGATTTATAGAATGATTTACACTCAAAGACACTTTACACTTTCAAACTTACAAAATAGGCACTTATTTCTTCTAGGTGACTTTGTGTGTTGTAGTTACAAAAACACCCTTTTTATGGTATTATTTTATTATAATTAAAAGTTTTCACATTCTTTAGTTTTTTCTCTCTTCTCTTCCAGAAAATCAAACGACGAGAAACTGAAAACCCTAGAAACACTGACCTTCTTCTCCGCCTCGCTCTTCGCCAGTACCACCGTGTCGAGTATTTACGGATTTCAATCGCTCCCTCACACGAAAAAGCAGCCCTCTCCTTCTCTCTCTGAAGGATTCCTATTCCGTCGTCTCCTCTGCGAAAATTCATGAAAGGTGATTGTACTCTTACACTCTGTTAGCTTTAAGCAGTTTCTCCCTCCGACGAATTAAGCAGTTGTGTCCTCCCGTTGTTTTCTTGTGTTATCCGAAACAGAGTACAGATCTGGTAATGGATTGTACTTGTCCATGTGAAACCGACCATGTGAAGTCGTCCATTAATGAATGATAGTTCATGTCCACGGGATGAGATACATGTGTCTTCCGCTTATCATGGAAGAAGTGATATAGATGGTGTTTTAGTAATATGGATTAGATATTGAACACATGGATTGTGACTCGTGGACGGGTTTGTATGAATATGATTTTCAATTGTGTGATTCTTATTAGTTGAGTGTACGTAATACAAGAGAATTTATTGTATTCACGATTTGTTGTTTTTGATTGTATCCATGGTTTTATGACCATATGTTCATGGTTTCAACTTTCTTATATCCACGGTTGCATGTTCTCGCATGGATACTTGTTTGTGGATGAAAATAAACTATATATATCCACATGATATATGTATATGGATATGGATATCTCTATCATGAACAAATGAGTACTAATAGGTTACAGTTAAAATTCACAAACACACCATTTGCTAACATTGTAACCCAAAAATGTAGCAAGTTCTTCCTTTATTCAATATGTTACATGATGCTTACTTTCCAGTTTCTATAATATAATTAAGCCAAAATTAATATTATGTCCATATGAGATTGCCCGTAGGATATATAAACTTTGTTGTATCCATAGTAACGGGGTTTCTATTTGGATGTTTACTATCTTAGTTCTACTAACTAATTCCTCCATAAAACGTATATGTTTATGCTATTTATGTCCACGCAACCGCATTCATGTGGATAGTTATTCATTTCTTAGAATATCACACTACTTTCATCCACTGATACTTGCATAAGTGCATCTATCCATGTGTTTTGCGTCCATACACTTGATTCCAAATGGCTAACTATGTCACGATTATCATCTATTTTTTCTTTAATAAACGTATATGGTCATGTTAGTGTCGTCCACGAAACTGCATCCATGCGGATAGCCCTTCAAATTATTTTTTACGAGAGAGTTCTTGGAAACTGCATCCATGCTAGTGTCGTCCACGAAACTGCATCCATGTGTCTCTAATATTTGCTAGTTCTTCAAATTTTTTTTTCCCTTGATTTCAGAACTGTATGGCACAACTTCCAAATCAACGTGCAGGAAAATATTGCTAGTATCCACTCACTTATATCCATGCATTAATACATACACATATTACAAGCTATACTCTCATACACACAATAACATCCATAATCGTGTATCCACAAATGACCATCCACACATCCATAATCGTGTATCCACAAATGACCATCCACAACTTCCATTGCTAGTATCCACTCACTCATATCCATGCATTAATACATACACATATTACAAGCTATACTCTCATACACACAATAACATCCATAATCGTGTATCCACAAATGACCATCCACACATACATACAAAAACCAGTCTCAAATACATCTCAATCCTTTGTCTTCTTCTCTGAATTCGTCATCTCCGCTGAATCACACATAAATTATGAAACCTTCTTAGATTTGCAGATTGAGATTAATATTAGGTTAATAGATTTGCAGATTGTGATTCTTTAACAATTATAAAAGGTTTTCTACAATTTAGAAGTTTCATGAACTTTATTATGGGAATTTGATTTTAATTTTTGTTTTGAGATCTCTTTTCTCATCACCGTCGAAAGACCAAAGACGAAGTTCCATATTTTTTACCAAAAAACATTATTTATCATCATTCAAACAACAAATTTCATTAAGGGTAAAATTGAGTTTTCTAACCCTTCCAACTCTTCGAAAATAACCCAAAGTCACCTTAGAGCACAAAGTGCCTTTATATGTAATATCTAAGTGGGAAAGTGCCTTCCACTGTAATTTTCTCTGATTTATATCCTTTTTTGGTCGACAGTTATGATTTGTGTCCTTATACATGGTGTACTTGTTACATTGTAGAAATCGATATACTCCCTCCGTTTCAAATTAGTTGTCGTTTTGGGAAAATGTATATGCAATTATTTGGATGTATCTGCAATGCAAAACATGTCCAGATACATCCAAATATTTGCAGATACATTTTGTCAAAACGACAACTAATTTGAAACGGAGGGAATATATACGAACTTTAACTTCAAGGAAAGTTAAATGTTGAAGAATTTAAGACACCACCACAGCTCTCCACATCCACATATGCAATATTCCTTCGTTACATAGCAAAGTAAACACAGAGTATTTAATAAGTTGTCAGTTATTTTTCCACAATTATATAATTTTGTTTTCAACGTTTCGTTAACGTAAAGTTGAAAAAGAGTGGAACCTTATATTTTGCAACCTACAAGGGAAAATACAAATCCACTATCACTATATTTATTTATCTTTCAGTTTCTGAGATCTACGTTAATTTACTTAGCACAAACGGTGTATAGTAAATGTTTAATTCTAAAAAGAAGTAAATTAAAATAGAGCTGTAAATGCATAGTATGAATTAATTTTGTTGCAAATGTAGGTCAGCTTTTCAATCAATTATATTGAATGCTTCACCGTTAGAAAATGTAGTTTTTAAACTGAAAAAATAATAAAGGAAAATGTTAATTAAATTTTGTTGTCTCCGGAAAACTGAAATCAATTTCGTAAGTCTTGATTTATTTGATTTATTAAAAAAAAAAGTCTTGATTTATTAAAAATTTTACTTAAAACTGAATCAAAAGATAATAAATTTATTTTAAGGAAACTAAAAATATGAATTAAAAACATAACCAAAATGGATTAAACACACCGTTGAATATTTGATTCAACTTCTTGTTTTGTCAACTTTTACGGCTTTTACCAGTTAAATCTTCAAATATTCTAAAACCAAAAAAAAAATCTTCAGATATTCGATATCATCACAATCGGTGCTAAATCTATCTACATTACAATTTAAATTCCTTATCAAAATACATTACAATTTAAATTAATGAATTAATACGATTATTACAAACCCGAATCGTACGGGCAGCAAAAAGACAGAATAGAAAACTCACTTTCCAACCATACAGCTTTCCGATTGGACGTGTTGAACGAGTCTCATTCGTCCACGTGTCTACTCTCGCACGTGCCGCCACGAAAGCTTGTGCCAGATCTGTATAAATCAAAGTGAGTGGTTTCATCACAGTTTCAAAACTCACAAGACTCCAATCTCCTCAGAAATATCCCACCGACGAGACTCGATCCGATCTCGTCTCCTCTTCCCTTGAACCATGGTTGACCCGGCGAACACCGTCGGAATTCCGGTGAACCCGACGCCGCTTCTGAAAGACGAGCTCGACATCGTGATTCCGACCATCCGAAACCTCGATTTCCTGGAGACGTGGAGGCCTTTTCTCCAGCCTTACCATCTGATCATCGTCCAGGACGGAGATCCGACGAAGAAGATCCATGTCCCTGAAGGTTACGATTACGAGCTCTACAACAGGAACGACATTAACCGAATCCTCGGGCCGAAAGCTTCCTGCATTTCGTTCAAGGATTCCGCTTGCCGTTGCTTTGGGTACATGGTGTCTAAGAAGAAGTATATCTTCACCATTGATGACGATTGCTTCGTAAGCTCTCCAATTCTCACCTTTTTTCTTTTGTTTGTCAGCTCGATCGCGATTTGAGTTTTTTTTTTTGTCAATTTTGGTTGTAGATCTAGTTTTTTTTTAAGCTCATTACTTGATTATCGTAGATTTGATGCGAGATCAGCTCATCGATTCACTGAACTTGACGGATCTTAGTTTTGTTCATAATCCTTTTTTTCCGATTAGCTAGGTCAATTAGGCAATTCAATGTTTAGATTCAGATCCATAGATCCGCTTGATGAGTCTCGATCTGTTTTGAGTCGAGTGTAACTAGCCATGATTTGCTGAGCTGATGAGTGATGACATTGTCATTATAGCTACCTTTACGAAATGATTGACGCATCTCAACGTTCTGCATTTTTTTCTTTTGTTTACCTTTTGGGATTTGTGGGGCATATCCAAGGATGAGTCTCAGTTACGCTCTGTTTAGTATTAAATTGACCAACTTTTTTTTTTGTATTTTTTGATGGCTTCTGGAAATTCAATGAGGTTTGATCAGAGTTTAAGCCACTTGTCTAATTTATGCTTACTCTTTGACGTGTATGTGTACATAGGTTGCTAAGGATCCAGCTGGCAAGGCAGTGAACGCTCTTGAGCAACACATCAAGAACCTTCTCTGCCCATCGACTCCACTTTTCTTCAACACCTTGTATGAACCTTACCGTGAAGGTGCTGACTTCGTCCGTGGATACCCTTTCAGTCTCCGTGAAGGTGTTTCCACTGCTGTTTCCCATGGTCTCTGGCTCAACATCCCTGATTACGATGCCCCCACCCAACTCGTGAAGCCTAAGGAGAGGAACACCAGGTGATCATCATAACCAATCATCCTCTGTGTGTTTTTGTTTGTTTAGAAGTTTCAAATGTCAGTCTTTTGCTAAACATTTGATATGTCAGGTATGTGGATGCTGTCATGACCATCCCAAAGGGAACACTTTTCCCAATGTGCGGTATGAACTTGGCTTTCGACCGTGATTTGATCGGTCCAGCTATGTACTTCGGTCTCATGGGTGATGGTCAGCCTATTGGTCGCTACGACGATATGTGGGCTGGTTGGTGCATCAAGGTATGAACAGTGTAGGACTCAAACCGGCTTCAATGTTATGAATTACACATGCTCTGTACTTAGCGAGACCCGTTTTGGGATTGAATCTGTTTTACAGGTGATCTGTGACCACTTGGGGTTGGGAGTGAAGACAGGTTTGCCATACATTTACCACAGCAAAGCGAGCAACCCGTTTGTGAACCTGAAGAAGGAATACAAGGGGATCTTCTGGCAGGAGGAGATCATCCCTTTCTTCCAGAACGCAAAGCTATCGAAAGAAGCCATAACTGTTCAGCAGTGCTACATTGAGCTCTCAAAGATGGTGAAGGAGAAGCTGAGCGCGTTAGACCCGTACTTTGAGAAGCTTGCTGACGCCATGGTCACATGGATTGAAGCTTGGGATGAGCTTAACCCACCAGCTGGAGCAGCAGCCAATGGCAAAGCTTAAGCCAGTCACATGAGCCAAAAAAAAAACAAAAACCACCACAGTTTTGGTTATTTTTTAGCTCAAATTATCTTTTCTCATGCTTTCTTGTTTACACTTTTGAGTAGTTGTCATCATCATCAATACTTTCTCATCGTCCATCGGTTTATTTCGCAAACAGTGGTTGATTTGTAGTTCTATTTATGTGTTTTTTTTCTTCATTTGGCTATTGTTCTCCCAGCTTTTTTTCTTTGTTTCATTAATAAAAAGCATTTTTCATTACTATTTTGTCAATATCATCCAACATCGTATCCCAGGTACCTCAATTAAACATCTGATATTCCTTCGGTTTAAATGCTTTTGCAAATTCACAAGCAAATGTTGACAAATTACAATGCTCTAGCACAATGGAAAAGCAGAGGCAGTTTATTTATAATAGATAAAATTCGAAGTAATCATGCGGGATTGTAGTAGCTTATCAGGCAACAAGATAAATAATTAAATAGTATTGAGTTTAGGTGATAAGCTCAATAACTCTTCCCTCACTTAGTAGAGCGCTTTAGCTTACAACAACATAAGACTCTTGGAAACCAAGGAAATAATTGGCTTCAGAAAACATGTTACGGTTTGCATCAACTTGGATATTGATCCTGGTAAGTTTATTAGCACTATTGTTGGGATCGTAGTGGAAAACATGAGCCTCAGGGGAACCGTAGGATGCAAAAACAACCTCACCCGTATGAGAAACAACGCCTTTGATATGCATATGCAGCTGGGGAAGATCATGGAAAGACACCTCCAGCTCATCCTGTTTCCCTGCTTGGAAAACCCGCACATCGATTCTACTCGCAGTGCGGATTGGTTGGATGGCGATGGCTACTTTGCCATGGTAGTTGATCAAATTGAGAGGACGTCGAGGACGCAAGGCGCGAACAGCCTCAGAGACACTAGCAAAGATATCAAACTTTTCAGAGTTGAGATCAAATCTCATCAGACTCATCTGCATCAGTCCTGTGCCGCCGGCAATGTAGTACACAGACCCATCTATACAGAGACCTCTAGACCTAAGAGCGTGAGGAATGGGACAATCGATGAGTCTCCATGAATTAGGTTTAGGTTTAGCGCCTCCCAATGTGAATACTTGAGCTTTAACTCGTGCTGGAGTTGAATTTGGTGTTGGCGACAGGGACAATACTTTGTACTGGTTGTTGGCGGGATCGTAACCGAAAAAGCGCATGGCCAGCCGTGGATTACAGGCGGTTTTGAGCAGCTTTGGTAGAGTGATGGACTTACCGGTGATTGGGTTACATATCACCTGTCCGATGCTCATCAATCCATTGACGTAATAAGCAGTGAGCCAGCCTGGCCGATTTGAGGAGGAGGGGTTTGTGATTCTGGATAGAAAAGATGTTGTTGACGACGACAGCGAAGAAGAAGAGGAGAAGAAGCAGCAACTCTGGCGTCCCGTATTGCGATCTCGGCCCTGTAAAGCGATGAGGAGACGGCAAGGTGAGGATGGATAGGGAAACGATCTGAGGAAATCCTTGCTGCGGATGGTGTTTGCCCATGCTTTCGATACCAGCATAAAACTAGTGACGGATGTCGCAGGCAATCGAATCAGAATCTCCAACAGTAGATCCAAAGGAAGAGCATCTTTCTTATGGTTTGTTTCCGGATTCTTCTCTGTCGTCCTCTTTTTGCAAACACGGAGACTTCTTCTAATCATGGTCGGGAATCTTAAATCTTATGCTTTTTTCTTTTTCTTGCCTGCTTAAATAGAGAGTATCGTTTAATGGGCTTCCCATCTAAACCGACTGGTTAGGATTCGAACCACCATCTGGGTGGATTATGTAATAAGCAAACAGTGGCAAGTAACTGTATAAATCTGGGTGGATTCGAACCACCATCCTCTCAACTTCCAAAGAAGAAGAGCGCTCTGCCATTTTGAGCTTACAGATCTATAAGAGTGCCAGCCATAGCTATGCCCAGAGATAGAAAACATTGAAGCCATAAAACATGTTGGAGTGTCGTATGGTAACATTGACTCCGCACAGAAGGTCAGTTCCACATGATTTCTATTATCAAATCAAGTAAATAAAATTTGCAATACACTCATGGATCCCGCAATGTTTTCTCATTTAATTGTAACGTTTTCAATTAAAGATATATCGGTGAAGGTGAGTGAGTAAACAATTCTGTAGTGTTAGTTAGTTTAAAATGTTTGTTTGGGTTTGATTTCTATTTCTTTTTTTTTGGTCAACCGAACAGAAGGTTTTTCTGCTCTTTTTTTTCCAAAAAAAAAAAAAAAAAAAAAAGAAAACTAGCTGATAGTTTTTCTCAATAGAATAGGTTTCATACAAATTAATTGTGAATTGTCTATGAAAATTTACTAAAAATCACTTACACGTAGTGGGGAAACAGCATGTGACACATGCATTGTAAAGATATCTCTATGTTATATCACTTAAATTGAACAAATAAATATTGGATGTTTAAAAATAATAATTAAATACCTCATCACTCATAATCTTCGTATCTATAATGGACTAAAGCGGCGCCTCCGGAAAAAAGGAGTTCTCAATGTCCCAGACATTTGAGTCGTAAAACTCCGCTCCATCCGTCAGAAGATAAAACATGCCTCCTTCTAAAACAGCAGTTACAACAATGGAAACTGGAAGCAACTCTCGGTGTGCAAAGAGTAACAATAGTTCTTTCAGCAGTAAGCCACAACGCCGGTAAGTTCATGATAGGAGAATGCACATCGTAATAATCTTGGATATTAACGTTCTCGCCATCATGATCCATTTGAACCTACTTTTTCACAAGGAAAACCGATAGCAGGATGATAATTAGCCTACAGATTCCTGGAAATCAAATAAACATAATATATGCGCTAATGATAACAAAGTTAACCATATCTATGCGCTCACATGGCATTTTTATTTGTTTTTGATAAAATTATTTACACACTCTGTGCACTTCTTGTCGGAAAAAAAAATGGTTTTACAGAGATAGTCAATGCATTAATTAAAATTTTAAATATTAGAGATCTATTACTATCGTAAGATTTTGTTTTTTTTTAACCGTATATACTATAATCAGTCCAATGTTTTATTTTTACTTATTTAGGTACAATTTATGATAAAATTTATTTGACAAAGATGTATTTTACATTTTGTGATCACTAGAAAATAAAACACACCGTCATATAATGAAAGTAGTAATAATAAATAAATATTTCGGTGTTAAATGTCTGGAATATACTGGAGGACTCCACTACGCTGAACATGCATGTTAGTCTCTATAACAGCAAACTATTCACACAAACACATTGCTTCTTTAAAACATATAACCAACCAAACAATTGCAAAAAATTACTGGAATAAGCTTACATGTTTGCTATCGTTGTAACAAAAGGCACCAATCTTCTGTAATCTCTCCTTCCTAGAGCACAGTTATCAAGAACCCGACCCAATAGTAGCCTTGTGTTCTGCAAAGCAACATCTCTCGGAGGTATCCCAGATTCTGCTGCAGCTGCACCGAGAGGGAAAGCCTGCGACATTGTCGCCGCCATCATTGTGTACTGGAGAGGTCCACTTCGGGCTTTGAATGAAGTCTGAGGTACAAGCGTTTTCTCATCAGTCCCGTTCTCCGAGTAACCGGAATCCTGAGGATGGGACCCACCTCCTTGTACCGGGCTACAGCTCTGAAGAAGGGCTTCGAGAACACTCAATGCTTCCCAACACAGAGTGCTTTCGACCAGCTGTGAAACGATAGTGTACATGTGGGGACTCTGTGAAGCATCCATGGGAGTGTGTTGGAGCAATGCCTTGAGCATAAGTAATATGACTCGTTGGTAATCCACTGGTCCTTTCTTTAGCAGCCTTAACAAGTGACCGAAGGCTAAAGCCGAGTGTTTCGGGAACCATTTGTTGCATAGCAGAGGAGAGACGCATGCAAGGAGATTATCAACTCGTTTGATCTCCCCTCGGGCATAAGCAACAAAAACCGTAGCCAATTCATCGAGTGATTTCGCCCGACACCAGACAGCAACGTTAGATGCTACAGAACATGCCTTTTGGTACTGCTGCTGGAGTGGTAACGCCGAAACCATGACTTGGTCTTGGCTCAACTGCAAGCAGAGCCAAGGAAGTAGACCTGTGATATGCATAAGGAGTCTTGTCTCGGCGTCGCCAAATATAGAGTCACATGAAAGCACTGTAATCCTTGATAGGACCTCAATTGAGAACTCGTGGCTAACAGTAGACATCAGTCCTTTAAGAACAAGAGGTTGTACACCTTCGAACTTTGGCAGTGTTCCACTTGACGGTGGCATCTCGTACCCTCTAGATTCTGTCCTTTGGAATTCCCCCAAATCATTAGTGCTGAATTCATCCCGAGGCATACTCGACAAGAGAACGTTTTCAGTTGTTTTGTCACGGAATGATAGGCGGTCAATAATACGGGAGAAGAGCTCAAGAACCTGGCAGTAGACATGGACAAAGTCTGTGTGCATCATGGCGACACAGCCCCAGAAGAGTTGTGGGTAGAGTATGACTTTCTCTGGCTCCATGTTCTCTACCATGACCTGTAGCGTCAGAAGGATTTCCATGATAAAACCCAAAACTGGAGGAATGGGATTGCTAAGACATCGATGAAGACAGCGTAGAAGGGAGACACATGCATCACTTGTCACACTTGGCCGTAGCGCACGGTATATTTGGTGTGACCGACAGGCTAGATGTCTTGAAGTGCATTCCATAGCCCATTTAAGAGCTTCAGTTCCCCAAGTTTCTCGGAGATCGCCTTGGAAGAATATAGCATCAACCATACTCTGAACAAGTGCAGACAAAAGAGCAGCACTAGGAAGATCTGTTCTCACAACAGTTGGATCTTCATTCTCCCACATCATGCTCCCTCGTTTCGATTGCACATACTTAATTAAACTCACAACCTGTTGCTTGTTCTCTCCATCGCTGTTTTCCACCTCATATAGCTCCAAATGGCGACCCGCAAGGGAGTACAACAAATTCACAAGCAAATGTTGACAATGCTCTAGCACAATGTCTTCAGAGCTATCCATCGAAACAAAAGTGACGTGGAAAAGCAGAGGCAGATGTTCCCTAAAATCTTCATCATTCTCATATGCGATTTCTGCAAGTAGGATCAGAGCTATATCGGCATGCGTGAGTGAGTGTTGTTGATGTCCCTGCAAGGCTGAGTGGAGTTCCTTTGCATTTACACCGTGCATTGCGATCCCAGAATGCAACACATCTTCCCCAGAGTTTGGCGTATCAATGAGGTAATCTCCACTGTCACGTGAGACATGGCGACTCCTCAAACTTCCTGTGGAGCTCCTAACTCCCATTAATGGTCCTGATGCATTCACCAATGATGGCAGGAGCTGACCAGAACGACCAGTAGCTACAGGAACAATGTTCAACTCAGGAGGCATTGGACTTAATGGCCCAGAAGCACTTCGCCCGGTCACGCCTCCTGTTCTCCAAGTAAGGCTTCCACTTGTATTCCTAAGGGGACCCTCAAGGGAGCCTCGGACAAGAAGTGGTGACATGTGTGGCTGGCTGTCTACTACTGAAACAACTTGAGGTGCTGTGGCAGGTCCCTGAGAGAACTCCAGCACAAAATTTCCATTGGAATCACCCCGGTTTGCACCATAACCAATGGGTTCAATACTATCTTCCAGCATCCGCTGTGATAGTTGGTAAACCAGGTGATCAATGGTACGCTGAGGACATATCCGTGCGAGGTACAAACTTACACGTTTAGCAACTGAAAAGTATGTAGCAAATGCACCAGTTATTTCGGCAGATGCATTTGAGTCACAGTCCTCAATGCCCTTTGTGATCAAGAAATCCAATACAGGGCTAATGTTTCTGGGTTTACTAGCGATCGTACTCCAAAGTTTTTCAATTTCATCAGGGAACTGATCTCCATGTCGCCATGTGACGTAGTACAGACTTTTTAGTAATCTTTCACTCCAACCCGAATCCTTGAGTTTCCAGAAATTAAGGTTTTCAATCCATGGAGCCATACAGGTCAAGACCTGATGCTGAGCAATTATATCAACCGCATCAAGCTGACGCTGCATAATTTCTTCACAAAGGAGCTGGCTTAACCCAGGATGATCCTTGGCGAGTTTGCAGGAGAGCTTGTACTGGAACTGTTGATAAGAATCTGGAAGATTACCTACAACCGCTGCTCTATAGCCTCCTGAACCTTCTATACCATCTTCAGCCCACTCACGCATAGAAAGTGTTTCAAGCATTTGAAGAGCATCGTCACGAATTTGTCTAGATGGATCGACTACCTTGTAGAGAATTAGACTCAAGAGCCTCTGGATTTCACATTTTGGTATTTCTTGTCGCATGTACACCTCAGCCAACACACTGAAGTACCCATCAGCTATAGCCGCATCAGAGTAGTAACACTGGGAAAAGCACAGATGTATTAGTTCATGTAGTTAACAAGAGTCCAATTAAGATGAAGTCACACGAATAGCAAGGCATAGAAGTAAAAAAAGGTTATCAAAAGTATTCAGGTGCTGTAACTGGAGCTAATAAATGGAATTGCTGTCATCATTAGTCAAGATATATCAGACATATAATCTAGTAATTACCACAACGATATTTTTAAAACACGGCTTCCATACAGTCAGTCAGAGATAGCTTTACCTGATCAATGCAGGCAGGGAAGAGATCCAAGTTT